CAGCTGACTCAGGGGTGTGAATACTTATGTACAGTGGGGAATAAAAGTATTTAGTCAGACACCAATTGTGCACGTTCTTCCACTTAAAAAAATGAGAGAGGCCTGTAATTTTCATCATAGGTACACGTCAACTATGACAGACAAATTGAGAATTTCTTTCCAGAAAATCACATTGTAGGATTTTTAATGAATTTATTTGCAAATTATGGTGGAAAATAAGTATTTGGTCACCTACAAACAAGCAATTTGATTTCTGGCTCTCAAAGACCTGTAACTTCTTCTTTAAGAGGCTCCTCTGTCCTCCACTCGTTACCTGTATTAATGGCACATGTTTGAACTTGTTATCAGTATAAAAGACACCTGTCCACAACCTCAAACAGTCACACTCCAAACTCCACTATGGCCAAGACCAAAGAGCTGTCAAAGGACACCAGAAACAAAATTGTAGACCTGCACCAGGCTGGGAAGACTGAATCTGCAATAGGTAAGCAGCTTGGTTTGAAGAAATCAACTGTGGGAGCAATTATTAGGAAATGGAAGACATACAAGACCACTGATAATCTCCCTCGATCTGGGGCTCCACGCAAGATCTCACCCCCTGGGGTCAAAATGATCACAAGAACGGTGAGCAAAAATCCCAGAACCACACAGGGGGACCTAATGAATGACCTGCAGAGAGCTGGGACCAAAGTAACAAAGCCTACCATCAGTAACATACTATGCCGCCAGGGACTCAAATCCTGCAGTGCCAGACGTGTCCCCCTGCTTAAGCCAGTACATGTCCAGGCCTGTTTGAAGTTTGCTAGAGTGCATTTGGATGATCCAGAAGAGGATTGGGAGAATGTCATATGGTCAGATGAAACCAAAATAGAACTTTTTGGTAAAAACTCAACTCGTCGTGTTTGGAGGACAAAGAATGCTGAGTTGCATCCAAAGAACACCATACCTACTGTGAAGCATGGGGGTGGAAACATCATACTTTGGGGCTGTTTTTCTGCAAAGGGACCAGGACGACTGATCCGTGTAAAGGAAAGAATGAATGGGGCCATGTATCGTGAGATTTGAGTGAAAACCTCCTTCCATCAGCAAGGGCATTGAAGATGAAACGTGGCTGGGTCTTTCAGCATGACAATGATCCCAAACACACCGCCCGGGCAACGAAGGAGTGGCTTCGTAAGAAGCATTTCAAGGTCCTGGAGTGGCCTAGCCAGTCTCCAGATCTCAACCCCATAGAAAATCTTTGGAGGGAGTTGAAATTCCGTGTTGCCCAGCGACAGCCCCAAAACATCACTGCTCTAGAGGAGATCTGCATGGAGGAATGGGCCAAAATACCAGCAACAGTGTGTGAAAACCTTGTGAAGACTTACAGAAAACGTTTGACCTGTGTCATTGCCAACAAAGGGTATATAACAAAGTATTGAGAAACTTTTGTTATTGACCAAATACTTATTTTCCACCATAATTTGCAAATAAATTCATAAAAAATCCTACAATGTGATTTTCTGGATTTTTCTTCTCATTTTGTCTGTCATAGTTGACGTGTACCTATGATGAAAATTACAGGCCTCACTCATCTTTTTAAGTGGGAGAACTTGCACAATTGGTGGCTGACTAAATACTTTTCCCCACTGTAAATGAGATTTCTGTGTTTCATTTTCAATAAAATACCAAACGTTTCTAAAATGTTTCTGTTGTCATCATGGGGTAGTGTGTATATGGGTGAGATTATTTTATTTAATCCATGTTTAATTTAGGCTGTAATTTTTTTTGAATAAGTCAAGGTGTATGAATACTTTCTGAAGCCACTTAGAAATTTGGAATAGTAATTTGGAAGGTCTCTTGCTAAATAAACAGACCACAATATTAATATGATCAACAAAACCCATCTAATATGGAGGTTTACATAGAGGAAATCAAAATAAAACAGATTTATCAAAACGTTTGGAAGTAATAAGGATACAGCCGATCTGACTACTAAAACAGCTTCCAGGGGGGAACTTGACCACGGTCTGTTCCTCTAGTCATGTCCAGAGTCTGCCAAATAAGTTATGAGGGCAAAGAGGCATGTTCATGCTGGCAACAGTCAAACACCATTCAGTCCCCAAACACAGTAACTCTAATTTCTTTATTACTTTAAAGAAGAAAATACAGTTACAATCAGTTCATTTCAACAATGGGGGTGTACATTTGCAACTACCATTCTATAGTTTAAAAAGGAGCTGTATACAGAAGAGCCTAGCTACTAAGAAAAGTATTTGCAAATCGGTAACGCAAACTGATTGGTTTATGGACATGCCGTTTAAAATCAACAGGTGCAGTGCAATACATGTGATCATATATCTGTAACAACTTCCCTGTTAAACCTACTTGCTCTAGTCTTTAAAAAAAGACATCCTGGCTTTACTTTAGGCTACATACTCATGCAAGAACAAACAAAAATGTGGTTAGAGGGGGACAACATTCTACAATATGTTACAGCAGCTTTTAGGTGTACATATTCAGTTGAAGACCTCTTGGTATTGTGGAAATGTTCTGTAGCTAGAGTTTTGTGAACAATGTAAACAGTGGCTGGTCCACTCCCGAGCCAGTCAGTGGCAACAACCAGGTCCTTCCATGGTGAAAACACCTCTGGTACCTAATTTTACATTTTTACCATTTAGCAGACGCGCTTATCCAGAGCGACTTACAGTTAGTGAGGGCATACATTTTTTTTCTCCTTCATACTAATGACAGGCAATTCGTGAAACTGAGAAATAGCTCGCTATCTAGTTAGTACTTTCACTGAGAACATAATTTAGATGGTACCTGAATATGTAAGCTGTCAACGTTATACAACATCTTCCACTATTTAAAAGTATATCCAACAAATGATCGGCTTGAACGCTAACATTCAGTTTCTCTGGTAGCTTACAGGACTCCATTTTTCTCGCCAACAAGAAACACAAGCACTAGCCACAACACCGCCATGTTGAGACGACTAACGTTGACTGTACAACGCTAGGTAGTAGTAGCTAGCAAGTAGGGGAGGTCATGGTCCAAAAAATTACAGTAATTAAGTCAAGTATCCAACGAAATAAATGTATAGCAACGATATCGAGATCAACGACCAGAGAATGTCATGAGTTGCTAGCTAACTGCTCCGTCCGAGCGCTATGTCCACCAGTGTTTCGACCATGTTGTATAATTTACATGCCAACTGAGCTAACACGCAACGTGTACAAATAATTTAAGCAGTCCGGTAGCCAACTATCGTTACTGTATCAAAACTAACAAACTCAATGCCATCCTCTTTTCTATGAATTTACAAACTTATCTAACGTATTTATACAACTGACCAACAGGGTAGCTAATGACTGAGGTTGGCTAGTTAACTACCTGGTCGCTCTTGGGGCCATTTTGCTTGAGCTTAGCTAGATTTTTTATCCTACTTAAAAATATGAAACACTAGCTAGCTAGCCAATGCGTCTATATTGTACTCGGTGACATTTAAAACAAAACAGCGCTAAAATAATATGTAAAACATAACATTCATTGCTCATTTTCCATCGTTATTTACAGACAACTCAATGGCGGGTTTTACAGTGCCCACAAAGGGGTAACGACGTTAGCTGTTAGCTAGCCATCTAACATTAGCTACATCGTGCTAACTACTTAGCCAGGGGTAGGCAACCCTGGTCCTGGAGTGCCGTAGGCACTTCATGTTCTGCATTTAACTGACCTCGAAAACCAGGCGTGTTGAATTTGGGCAATCGCCAAACTGATCAATTAGTTGTTGCTCAGGTGTGGTGCCTAATTGGAACAAAATCTTGTTTTCTGCGGCACTCCAAGCACAGGGTTGTCGACCCCTGATTTAGGCTAACGCGTAGTTAACTGTTGATAATACAAATAAAACAAGTTGAATATTTCACTGAACATCAACCAAACATTCTAGTACTATTATTTGGAAATGTGATTTTACATCGACTTTGGCTTGCTAGCTAGCAAGACACTTACCGCTAAAGCCAGACTGTGACACTTCGTTTTAAACGTGGCCTTCCAATCTCGTCCCTATTTCAGAAAAATAATCAATTTACATAACAAATTACTAACGAGATGTGCTCTAAAAACTAGTATTTCAAGGTTTCCCGTTTGAATTACGGTAAAGTCTTTCACCGTTATTGTATTAAACACCGCAGGCTTTTATCGGATTTTCCCAGTTGTTGTACTTAAAATAACACTGATCGCGCCGGCATGGTTCCCACTTGAGACTGAGGATTCTTGCATAGTCCCGTAAAAAACTAAATGTTGTTGTAAAGTAACAGTAACTTCGACATATTCTTTAAAAAGTTCGAAAAATAACTCGTTTTAACTGGGTTTTTTTTGTTTTACAAAATGAAGATTTTAAATATGTATTTGATTTCCGAAGGGTCGAGGTAGGCCTCATGAGCGAGCTTCTTTTCCAAGAGTCGTAGCGGATCCAGAGCGAGACGAACGAGACAACACTGATTTTTTTTATTTTGCTTAGAGAGGAAAAAGACGAATCGGTGAAGTTCGGCAAAGATCGGAAATAAGGCGGGTTTAACGAAAATTATTCCAACGCCATCGTATCTCTATAGCCATTGGTTAATCTCTATGTACTAATGTATATTAATGACGTAATTGACCAACCACACCGTATTTTATTGACCATTTCTAGAACTACAACAACATTTACATTGTAGCCCCTCCTCTGCTCTGTTCTGACCAATGGTGAGCATTTCAATCAATTTAGTGCCCGCCTTATGTTTCAATTGGTTAAAGAAGAAAACGTAAGCTGCAATTGGTCATGCGTCTTATTAAATGTATTATTCATGTTATGATCTTGTGTAGCCAATTAACGTTTTACTACACAGATCCATAACCCGCCTCCTGACTGTTCTGCCCCTGCTTCGTTGAGTGTGTCAACCTGTACCAAAGTCTCCAGTCTATATAAACACGCGTTGGCGCTTTTCTCACTCAGATGCGCGTAGAGCGCACTGGAGTGTAGATCAGGAAAAGGGAAGGGGACAGCCGTTAGTTATAGTAAATAGGAGTAAAACGTAAATAAATAGACTCCAAGGGCAATAACCAACGTGGGTCTTCGGGATATCGCCTTCGGAGACATTCCGGTCACCGTTGGCGGCCTGGCCAGAGTCCTGGTGGCAATTTAAAGCTGTTCTTTCTTACAAAAGCGGCGTGCCAAGGGAGGACGCGTCTCTCTGAATAGACAGGATGCACGGACCGCCCTCCGGCGACAGCGCATGCCCATTGCGCCTCATCAAGAGAGTGCAATTCGGCATCATCAGCCCAGATGAGCTTGTAGGTTTTGCTTTGGGGTGGGGGGATTCGTTTACTTTTTGAACGTTCTCACATTGATCATACCTGTACATGATAATACCTAGAATGTATTATGATGGCAATGAAATGGATGTGCTACAAAGCAAGTCGTTTGCAGCTAGCCTAGCTAGCTAGCTAAGCCATGTTGGAGCTTGAGCTAGCAACAGCATGTTATAGGAAGTTCGACCAACTTTCAGCACACGCAGTATTTTCCATCTGAGCTAAGCCATATCATGAATCAAACTCCCTTTTTTTTTTATATATATATTGAAAGTGCTACATGTAAGCAAAGACAATTTTAGCTACTTTTACTGCCATATTGGTGTTCCCTAAAAGTTATATGCACAAACACTAGCTAGTCTAGACGTTCCCCTCTTATGACCTATATGTGGTAGCTACATCATAATAAAAGGTCAAGTCAATAAAGTCGAAGTTATTCATGTTTTCTTTACTTTGTTTTATTAGTTTGGTATAATAGAATACATTGTTTACACAGTCTTTTATCATTGCATTGTCAGTTTGCTCACCTCAATTGATTTTCATCTAATGAGTTGCTCCTCACGCAATTGATTTGTCAGATAGTAACCATACGGATTTAGAAATGCAACTTTGATCGAAGTGTACCACCATGTTCTTATTGTAGTGTAGGTACTGCCATATCTTGATTCAATTACTGTTTTTGTAGCAGTTATTTATTTGAAGTGGCTTGAAAGAGGTTGGTTTGTGAAATATGTACGCCGTTTTCCAATGTCTGCGTAAGCTTGTGACTGCTTTACTGTTGTGTGTATTTACTTGCGCTATTCATATTTTGGAACCGGATTTGATGTTGACCATGGATGTGTCACTCTAGAAACGGATGTCGGTCACGGAAGGGGGAATCAAGTACCCCGAGACCACAGAAGGAGGGCGTCCTAAACTTGGTGGGCTGATGGACCCCAGACAAGGTGTCATCGAACGATCTGGAAGGTGTCAAACGTGTGCAGGTACAGAAAGTTTACCAGGCAGTCATTGTAATTTTTTTCTCAGTGATAATAAAACACTTTATTTGAAAATTCTCAGACCCAAACATTTGTGGTTAAGGTTAGGTCACCACTACTGTATTGGTATGTAGGTAACAAAGCATTGTTGTTTTTGCTGTTTAGGTAACATGACAGAATGCCCGGGCCACTTCGGCCACATAGAGCTGGCCAAGCCCGTGTTCCATGTGGGCTTCGTCAACAAGATCATGAAGGTCCTCCGGTGTGTCTGCTACTCCTGCTCCAAGCTGCTGGTCGACACGGTCAGTAACCCTCCATTCCTAACTCATACCACTACCTACAGTGCGGCTACACAGCCTATATGTAATGTACTAATCCGCTCCAGGATTTGATTCTTTTGTGAGGCTCACAACATAGCGGAAATTGACCAGCAGTATACCTCCAAACATCCGTGCTGCACAGCATACACATAGAATATATAGCACTACATAAACTCCTGATATATCTAATTGGTTGTCATTTTATGGGTATAAGAACTGTGGAATAAATGATACTAATGATTACATATTAGTCCTGGGAATTGCGTTACACATATTCCAATGACTTGTTGATGTGATGGTCTTTCCTTCCTTCTAGAATAACCCAAAGATCAAAGACATCCTGCAGAAGTCCAAGGGGCAGCCCAGGAAGCGTCTGACCCACGTGTACGACCTGTGTAAAGGCAAGAACATCTGCGAGGGCGGAGAGGAGATGGACAACAAGTTTGGAGTGGAGCAGCAGGAACACAACAGTGAGGACATCACTAAGGAGAAGGTACTTTCACCGGGGATGCTTGTCGACATGTCATTTATAGGCCCTCTGTAGCTCAATTGGTAGAGCATGGCACTTGTAATGCCAGGGTAGTGGGTTCGATCCCCGGGACCACCCATACGTAAAAATGTATGCGCACATGACTGTAAGTCGCTTTGGATAAAAGCGTCTGCTAAATGGCTTATTATTATTATTAAAACATGTATTTTTTGTTCTGTTTAGGTCTGCTTCATCTCACTTAGTAACATCTGTCTGATTTTGTTTCCTCTTGTAACACACACCCTCTCTCTCCCTCCCACACACACACACACACTCTCCCTGACACTCCTAGGGCCACGGTGGTTGTGGGCGCTACCAGCCGCGGATCCGTCGGTCGGGCCTGGAGCTGTATGCTGAGTGGAAGCACGTGAACGAGGACTCGCAGGAGAAGAAGATCCTGCTGAGTCCCGAGCGCGTCTACGAGATCTTCAAGCGCATCTCGGACGAGGAGGATGTCATCCTGGGCTTGGACCCCAAGTTCTCCCGGCCCGAGTGGATGATCGTCACAGTACTCCCCGTGCCGCCGCTGGCTGTCCGGCCCGCCGTCGTCATGCAGGGCTCTGCCCGTAACCAGGTGAGGAGGAATGACTAACTGTTAAAGAGAAAGTTTGAGATTGTTTTAACTTGTTGAAGTTTTACCACCGTCGTTTAACCACGTCGTGTCCTTTTTTTTCTGACGCCCAGGATGACTTGACACACAAGCTGGCCGACATCGTCAAGATCAACAACCAGCTACGGCGGAACGAGCAGAGCGGCGCGGCGGCCCACGTCATCGCTGAGGACGTGAAGCTGCTGCAGTTCCACGTGGCCACCATGGTGGACAACGAGCTGCCAGGCCTGCCCAGGGTACGCACAGCAGCAGTGACACTTGAGAGGGCACCAATTGGCACAACATTACTGTACTTCTTACCCTTGTCGCTGTGTAGTGTTACTATAAAGATTTACTCTTACTGTCTTTGTTTGAATTGAAGACTGTCAAACTAAAGACAAAATAATATTTCAGAACAGGTAGGAAAACAAATTCACATAATATTGGATGCTTTAAAAGTGCTATTTTGTTAGACTGTTAAGATGGGGAACTATTCAACCCATAATAACTGGTTTATTTAGTTTTCAATGATTATTGATAGTTGTAAAGGATAATCTGTTCTGAATATGCCTGTGCTGATCGGACTTAATCTCATCTCCCAGGCGATGCAAAAATCGGGCCGCCCGCTCAAATCCCTCAAACAGCGTCTGAAGGGGAAGGAGGGGCGTGTCCGAGGTAACCTAATGGGGAAACGTGTGGACTTCTCAGCCCGAACCGTCATCACCCCCGACCCCAACCTCCAGATCGACCAAGTGGGTGTCCCGCGCTCCATCGCAGCCAACATGACCTTCCCAGAAATCGTCACACCCTTTAACATTGACAGGTACACCCTTTAACATGGACAGGCACACCCTTTAACATGGAAGGCACACCCTTAAACATGGACAGGCACACCCTTAAACATGGACAGGCACACCCTTAAACATGGACAGGCACACCCTTAAACATGGACAGGCACACCCTTAAACATGGACAGGCACACCCTTAAACATGGACAGGCACACCCTTAAACATGGACAGGCACACCCTTTAACGTTGACATCTACCTATACTTCATTGAGACTAAGTCATTGTTTAAACTGACAGAATTGTGTATTGGTTATAATGCTGACGGTACAATATGTCTCCAGGTTACAGGAGCTGGTGCGCAGAGGCAACAGCCAGTATCCCGGAGCCAAATATATCATCCGCGACAACGGGGATAGAATCGACCTGCGGTTTCACCCCAAACCAAGTGACCTTCACCTCCAGATCGGCTACAAGGTGACTCTCAAAAGACAAGATGGTCGTCATTTATCATGGAATGTTTACTAAGGAATCTGAGTGACTTGAACTTGATGTAATGCAATGTCACTTTTATAAACTCATTTTGGTCACCCTCAGGTGGAAAGACATATGTGCGACGGTGACATCATCATCTTCAACAGACAGCCCACGCTACATAAAATGTCTATGATGGGGCACAGAGTCCGAATCCTGCCCTGGTCCACCTTCCGAATGAACCTCAGGTACAACTATCAAGTCCTGAATGATCCCTTCAAGTCTGTCAGCCTCGCCCAGTTACAGACCACACCCAGAACAGGATACCTGAGTAGTTATTGTTTGTTGGTGTCAACACTGAAAATAATGTTGGGTAGAAAATTGATATAGAACCTATTGTCGAGCAAATATAATTTCAGGATTGTGATTAATGTTCGTATAGAATTTGATGTTTTTGTCAACTTAGCATTTACTTTCAATTTGGGAAAAATGTAACGCATAGGACACATTACACACATCATTGAACATATGACATCAAACGGATCCAGGATGTTGACATGAACCCCTCTGGTTCCCCCCCTCTTGCTCCACAGTGTAACCACCCCATACAATGCTGACTTTGATGGGGACGAGATGAACCTGCATCTACCCCAGTCCCTGGAGACGAGAGCTGAGATCCAGGAGCTGGCCATGGTGCCTCGTATGATCGTCACCCCCCAGTCCAACAGGCCCGTCATGGGCATCGTGCAGGACACCCTCACCGCTGTGCGCAAATTCACCAAGAGGGATGTCTTCCTAGAGAGGGTAAGGAGAGCACCATTAAAGGGATCGATCAGCCCAAAGCCAATGTTTATCAGGAACTTTATACATCATCACACAGCGTTATTAGAGTACATGTTGAACAAAAATGGAACACTTGTAGAAGTTGTATGTGTAAGATTGTTGAAGACTATCACAAAAAAACACATTAATAAAAAACACACACTCCTTTCCTACACTCATTCTGGAACATGATCTGTCCCCCAGGGCGATGTGATGAACCTCCTGATGTTCCTGTCCACGTGGGACGGCAAGGTGCCCCAGCCAGCCATCCTGAAGCCCCGGCCTCTCTGGACGGGCAAGCAGATCTTCAGCCTTATCATCCCGGGCCACATCAACGCCATCCGAACACACAGCACCCACCCAGACGAGGAGGACAGTGGGCCCTACAAACACATCTCCCCTGGGGACACAAAGGTAAAATACTGAACGCTCAGCTGGCTAAACACCCTGAGATGCCTCGTGGCAATGAGGATTTGTAGAAAAAATCATATTGTAGTGCTAGTGTGTGCAGAATACAGGGTTTTATTGCATATCTGTCATTGTACATCCCAGGTGATAGTGGAGAATGGAGAGCTGATCATGGGCATCCTGTGTAAGAAGTCACTGGGTACCTCTGCTGGCTCCCTGGTCCACATCTGCTTCCTGGAGATGGGCCACGACGTCACCCGCCTCTTCTACTCCAACATCCAGACGGTGGTCAATAACTGGCTGCTCATTGAGGGTTAGGACCTGGGCTGGGTGGGCACTGGAAGAGGGCATCAGTGGGTAGAATGGTCAGATTAGGAAACGGCAACTCATTTGAAATCCACTTGAAGTAAAAAATGAACCTGTTCCAATTTGTGGTTAAACTAATCTAAATGTAGATATTTTAGTCAATATTACCTCAGTTTTTCTTAATATTCGTGTACTCTCACTAGGTGCCTCTATCGGTATTGGTGACTCCATTGCTGACGCAAAGACCTACCTGGACATTCAGAACACCATCAAGAAGGCCAAACAGGATGTAATAGAGGTAAGTCCCTTCGCTCATCGGGAATCTAAAATATTTCTTAAAAGTTCCAGAATATCCCTTGAAAATAATTCCTCTTGTACTCATGATGTGGAAATCCCTTGAAAATTCCTTAGGAAAAATATAGAATAAATGTGAGCCACAGCCTTTCTTCTTGTGTTCCTCTCCAGGTCATTGAGAAGGCCCACAACAACGAGTTGGAGCCCACCCCTGGTAACACGCTGAGGCAGACCTTTGAGAACCAGGTGAATCGCATCCTGAACGACGCCCGTGACAAAACGGGTTCCTCTGCCCAGAAGTCCCTGTCTGAGTACAACAACTTCAAGTCCATGGTGGTGGCCGGCTCCAAGGGCTCAAAGATTAACATCTCTCAGGTACGGCCTCAGGGGTCTTAAAAAAACAGGGCTGTGTTCAGTAGGGAGAACGTTTTAAAACGGGCAGGTACTACCTCAACCTGTCCAATAAAAAATTCAAAAAAAAAATCCCATTACAAATGTTTTAAAACGTTTCACTAGGGTGTGCCCTACCGGACACAACCCAAGGTTGTTTCCGACATCGATTGGTTTTTGAATGGCACAGGATCATTGGCACTTTATTCCTTTATGGATGACGGCAGACAAGTCCTCAATTTACACCCACTAACTTCACACATTTTTCTTTCTCTCATCATCACTCTCTGTCTCTGTCTCTCTCTGTGTGGCCCGCAGGTTATTGCTGTGGTGGGGCAGCAGAACGTGGAGGGTAAACGTATCCCCTTCGGCTTCAAGCACCGCACGCTCCCCCACTTCATCAAGGATGACTACGGCCCCGAGAGCAGAGGCTTCGTGGAGAACTCATACCTGGCCGGTCTCACGCCCACAGAGTTCTTCTTCCACGCCATGGGAGGCAGGGAGGGGCTTATCGACACCGCTGTGAAGACCGCCGAAACTGGTGAGTGAAGGGCCTGAGGCAGATGTTAGGGACAGGGGGAGGGAAGGGGTAGAGGTTAGGTTCAGGGTTTAAGCTGGTTAATGAAGGGGTGAATGTTACAACCCCTGCACGATTAGGGAGAGGAGACTAGAGACATGATCACATGGCTAGTTGACTAGGTGGTTGAAATACTCTTTCCTCATCTGATGTCCTTCAGGTTACATCCAGCGTCGTCTGATCAAGTCCATGGAGTCTGTGATGGTGAAGTATGACGCCACGGTGCGGAACTCCATCAACCAGGTGGTGCAGCTTCGCTACGGAGAGGACGGCCTGGCCGGGGAGTCTGTGGAGTTCCAGAACATGGCCACGCTCAAACCCTCCAACAAGGCCTTCGAGAAGAAGTGAGTGGTGAAGGGAAGTGGGGAACAATGTCGGCTAGAGTCGGCTCACCTACCCCGGTACCAGATTATTTTGAGCTGTCTTGCCAGTGCCTATTGTCATGGCAACAACCATAGGAGTTAGCTGTACGGGAAACACAGATCTGGGACCAGGCTGGGGCTCTCACTGAGTTCTGTGTTAATGTCATATTCCATTTTAGTCATTCGAGGGTTCACTAAGATTCTTGAACTAGGACAAGCCCTTCTCGTAATGATTGACAGTGTAACGACAACCCCAAACATTGGATTTCATAGTCTCCACCTCTTCACGGCCATCTAATTTATTACATAGACTCTAATGCCAACCCTCTTAAATACAGCAGCTCACTGTCCACAGGCCACACATCCAGGCTGTTGGTCTCCCTCCTTCTCTCATCCCTTCCTAATCCTCCTCCCTCGGCCACTAGGTTCAGGTTTGACTGCACCAACGAGCGGGCTCTGCGGCGCACCCTGCAGGAGGAGGTGGTGAAGGACGTGATGACCAACGCCCAGGTGCAGAGCGCCCTGGAGAGGGAGTATGAGAAGATGAAGGAGGACAGAGAGATTCTGAGGGCCATCTTCCCCACTGGGGACAGCAAGGTGATGGGGAGACGGAGACATGAACACACACTAGCATATGAACACTCACTGGCATATTTGCGCGCGCACATACACACACACACACGCACGTAGATCTCCAGATTCCCCACACACGTATACATCCCCACACATGCACACTCACTCACTTCCATGTACTCCCAGGAACTCTCACTCTCCCACTCCCACATGTCACCACTGCTAGCATATCCCACTGATTCAGTGGCGCAGTGGTCTAAGGCACTGCATCGCAGTGCTAGCTGTGCCACTAGAGATCCTGGTTCGAATCCAGGCTCTGTCGTAGCCGGCCGCGACCGGGAGACCCGTGGGGCGGCGCAAAATGTAAATGTAATTCAGCCCAATGCATTAGGGCTTTACAATACTAAAGAAGTTATGTCCCTGCTCCCCACTAGGTGGTGCTGCCATGCAACCTGGCCAGGATGATCTGGAATGCCCAGAAGATCTTCAGGATCAACCCCCGCACCCCCACAGACCTCAACCCCCTACGAGTGGTAGAGGGTAGGTACCACAATCATACACAGCAGCCACCATAGACCCATATTGTAGAAAGCCTGTAGATGTGCCATATATAGTCCAAGTCAGGGAAATGCAACGTCCTGGAGGGCCAGAACACTTCTGTTTTTAATCCAGGGACTGATTCAGACCTGGGACACCAGGTGAGTGCAATTATAACTAGCAGTTAGAAACACAAAGCAGACCGGAGTTGATTAGCCCTGGTCTAAGTTGTAAAACTCCTACTCCTGAGTGGCGCAGTGGTCTAAGGCACTGCATCGCAGTGCTAACTGTGCCACTAGAGATCCTGGTTCGAATCCAGGCTCTGTCGCAGCCGGCCGCGACCGGGAGACTCATGGGCGGCGCACAATTGGCCCAGCGTCATCCAGGGTAGGGGAGGGAATGGCCGGCAGGGATGTAGCTCAGTTGATAGGGCATGACGTTTGCAACGCCAGGGTTGTGGGTTCGATTCCCACGGGGGGCCAGTATAAAAAATAAATACAAAATGTATTCACTAACTGTAAGTCGCTCTGGATAAGAGCGTCTGCTAAATGACTTAAATGTAAATGTAAAAGGTTGATGCCATTCATTTTCAATGGCCACTCGGATTGTGAATAGGCCTCTGAGCAATCACACCATCACATTAAGTGATCTTGATAGGTGAAAGTTGAGCACACCCATTGTCAACCATGTCATTTATTGGAATGATTCACAAATCATGTGGACAAAATGATTATAGTCTGGCACCTGGCCTGCCCCCAAGCTGCACTGCTTACTGAAGGCTATATAAACCTTCTGGTGTCCAACCATATTCCTAACGTGATAAAGACTGTAGGGTGCTTAGAGAGATGGTGTGATCCTTTACACAGTACAGCACTACATGGAGTACAGGATTGTGCTTCAAGGACCCTATTCAGACTTGAAGTAAGTTGACTTGACATGGACTGAAGTCAGAAAATATTGTACTTAAGTCCATGTTTTATTAACTTAAATCCATGTTAAGTCTACGTATCTCAAGCCTAAATTGGGCACCAAGTGCCTTGGTCACAGTGACATTTGTTGTCATGACAACAGTGTTGTATTAGAAGACCATAGCACTTGATATGCTACAGTAAAAGGTTACCTGATTCATTTTGTCATTCCAATGACTAACATTTTGGTGTACATTGCATCTGTCTAGATTCTAAAAACAAGGATTTGCCGCACTTTGTTCCGTAACTAAGTAAATCATGTTGACACCTCTGCCATCTTGGTACCAAATCTCTCTCTCGTGAAAAGCAATTTGAACTCTACCACTAAGCCAGGCTAAATAATCATATAATGAAATGACACGGTCTGACATTCTACAACGTCTCCCCTCTCTTCCACGCCACAGGTGTCCAGGAGCTGAGTAAGAAGCTGGTGATTGTGAACGGCGAGGACCACCTAAGCAGACAGGCCCAGCAGAACGCCACGCTGCTCTTCAACATCCACCTACGCTCCACGCTCAGCTCCCGACGCATGACCGACGAGTTCCGACTGAGCACCGAGGCTTACGACTGGCTACTGGGGGAGATCGAGAGCAAGTTCAACCAGTCTATCGTGAGTAGAGAGATACACGCACAGTATGCTGGGAGAGACTGGAAGGGGGAGATCGAGGGTCAACACCAAAACTGGTTGCTATGAACTAAAGATGTTATTAGATTTAAAGGGAAAGTGAAAAGGTGTAAAAAAAACAAGCCTACAGCTTTTTCATTACACTAACTTAATTCCATCATAATCATTTAATCGAATTATTTCTCTACCTCCCTCTCTGTCGTCTAGGCCCACCCGGGTGAGATGGTGGGGGCGTTAGCCGCCCAGTCACTGGGAGAACCCGCCACCCAGATGACCCTGAACACCTTCCACTACGCCGGCGTGTCGGCCAAGAACGTCACCCTTGGCGTGCCGCGTCTCAAGGAGCTGATCAACATCTCCAAGCGGCCCAAGACCCCCTCCCTCACCGTGTTCCTTCTGGGCCAGGCGGCCCGCGACGCCGAGAGGGCCAAAGATATCCTCTGTCGTCTGGAGCACACCACCCTCAGAAAGGTGGATAGTGGAGAATATGTGTGGACTAAACATGTGGTTGCCATAGACCGGCTGCGTGAAGGGTTGCCACAGTTAACAACTTTGGGCCGACTTCAGTTTTCAAGTTTTACTTTTATGAATTATAATATTCATAATGTATGTGTATATATGAAGTTATTACATATAGGCTTTCTTAGGTTGTTTTTTTCTTTGCATACTGATTTTACAACAATTAACCTCTCTCGCTCTCTCCCTCCCCCCCTCTCTCCAGGTGACTGCCAACACAGCCATCTACTACGACCCTAACCCCCAGAGTACGGTGGTGACGGAGGACCAGGAGTGGGTCAACGTCTACTATGAGATGCCTGACTTCGACGTGACTCGCATCTCCCCCTGGCTGCTCCGCATCGAGCTCGACCGGAAACACATGACTGACCGCAAGCTGACCATGGAGCAGATCGCAGAGAAGATCAATGCAGGTGGGGCTGAATGAACAGAAACACACACTACTTTAATGAAGTATTGAAGTTAAAAGGTACCACATCATCCATACCCAACCTATTGCGAAGTGCAACCTCTTTTCTCCCTGAAGGTTTCGGAGATGATCTGAACTGTATCTTCAATGACGACAACGCCGAGAAGCTGGTTCTGCGAATTCGCATCATGAACAGCGACGAGAACAAGTTCCATGAGGACGAGGAGGTGGTGGACAAGATGGACGACGACGTGTTCCTGAGGTGCATCGAGTCCAACATGCTGACGGACATGACACTGCAGGGCATCGAGCAGATCAGCAAGGTAACTGAGGGGTCGCGTACACACACACACACACACTCAACACACACACACACACACACACACACACACACACACACACACACCACACACACACACACACACACACACTCAACACACACCACACACACACACACACTCAACACACACTCAACACACACACACACACACTCAACACACACACACACACACACACTCAACAGACACACATACACACACTCAACAGACACACATACACACACCACATACACACACTCACACTCAACACACACACTCAACATACACCATCATGTCTGAATTCATAAAACTGCTCTTGGGCACCATTTTACATCTCATTACCATCTAATACTCTTAGCTACCTCCCTTATCCTTTACTACATTACCATCTAATACTCTTAGCTACCTCCCTTATCCTTTCTACATTACCATCTAATACTCTTAGCTACCTCCCTTATCCTTTACTACATTACCATCTAATAGTCTTAGCTACCTCCCTTATAGTTTACTACATTATCACTGACTTAACACACACTGATTGACCTAAACGGCTGAAACCTATCCAGATCGTTAACCCATCAGCTATTGATCTACGTCCCGTCTGTCTCCTCCCCCTAGGTGTACATGCACTTGCCCCAGACAGACAACAAGAAGAAGATCATCATTACAGAGGAGGGAGAGTTCAAGGCCCTGCAGGAGTGGATCCTGGAGACAGACGGCGTGGGACTGATGAGGGTCCTCAGTGAGAAGGACGTGGACCCCGTCAGGACCACCTCCAACGACATCGTAGAGATCTTCACGGTACGGATAGATACCATAGTTACCCATCGCTACTCTAGTGATAGTTACCAATAGCTACGGTAGTTGTGATAGTTAACCGATAGCTACGGTAGTTGTGATGGTTACTGATAGCTAGGCTAGTTGTGATAGTTACGATAGCTAGGCTAGTTGTGATAGTTACCGATAGCTACGGTAGTTGTGATGGTTACCGATAGCTACGGTAGTTGTGATGGTTACCGATAGCTATGGCAGTTGTGATGGTTACCAATAGCTATGGCAGTTGTGATGGTTACCGATAGCTACGGCAGTTGTGATGGTTACCGATAGCTATGCTAGTTGTGATAGTTACCGATAGCTATGCTAGTTGTGATAGTTACCGATAGCTATGATGGCAACCGATTGCTATGGTCGTTACGATGGCGTTACGAAACCGATTAACTAGCCTGCTAATATTGTTGCACTCGCTAAGTCTAGGTGTCGTAGGCCTAGATGTGTGCATTTATGTGAGAAATCAGCATTTGAGGACCGTGTTGGATGTACATGTGCCCAGCGAGACAGCAACCTTACCTTGTGTCCAGGCCCAGCTCTCTCTTGACTCCTTTGGATCGGCGAGCCCTAGCGGATTATTATGTTCAGATGGTGACGGAAACCAGTAGATACAGAAAAGAAAACTACAAACAGGCATGCCTAAACTAAAGATACAAAAAGGCCTGATGGCCACCAAACCAAACTCACAGCTTGCAAGCTGGGACACTGACCTACAATCTTAAATGATAAGTGAAGTGAAAAAAAAAATGGAAAAAAAATAATATATATATATATATAATAATAATATGCCATTTAGCAGACGCTTTTATCCAAAGCGACTTACAGTCATGCGTGCATACACTATGGGTGGTCCCGGGAATCGAACCCACTACCTTGGCGTTACAAGCGCTGTGCTCTACCAGCTGAGCTACAGAGGACCACCCAGGGGTTTTTCTTTATTTTTACTGTTTTCTACCTTGTGGAATAATAGTGAAGACATCAACTATGAAATAACACATATGGAATCACGTAGTAACCAAAAAAGTGTTAAACAAATCAAAATATATTTTATATTTGAGATTATTCAAAGTAGCCACCTTGCCTTGACGACAGCTTTGAACACTCTTGGCATTCTCTCAACCAGCTTCACCTGGAATGCTTTTCAACAGTCTTGAAGGAGTTCCCACATATGCTGAGCACTTGTTGGCTGCTTTTCCTTCACTCTGGGGTCCAACTCATCCCAAACCATCTCAATTGGGTTGAGGTCGGGTGATTGTGGAGGCCAGGTCATCTGATGCAGCACTCATCACTCTCCTCCTTGGTCAAAAAGCCCTTACACAGCCTGGAGGTGTGTTGGGTCATTGTCCTGTTGAAAAACAAATGATAGTCCCACTAAGCGCAAACCAGATGGGATGGTGTATCGCTGCAGAATGCTGTGGTAGCCATGCTGGTTAAGTGTGCCTTGAATTCTAAATAAATCACAGACAGTGTCACCAGCAAAGCACCATCACACCACCACCTCCATGCTTTACGGTGGGAACCACACATGCGGAGATCATCCGTTCACCTACTATGCGTCTCACAGAAATCTCACATTTCGACTCATCAGACCAAAGGACAGATTTCCACCGGTCTAAGGTCCATTGCTCATGTTTCTTGGCCCAAGCAAGTCTCTTCTTATTATTGGTGTCCTTTAGTAGTGGTTTCTTTGCAGCAATTCGACCCTGAATTCATGATTTCATGTAGTCTCCTCTGAACAGTTGATGTTGATGTGTCTGTTAATTGAACTCCGTGAAGCATTTATTTGGCCTGCAATTTCTGAGGCTGGTAATTCTAATGAACTTATCCTCTGCAGCAGAGGTAACTCTGGGTCTTCCTTTCCTGTGGCGGTCCTCATGAGAGCCAGTTTCATCATAGCGCTTGATGGTTTTTGCGACTGCATTTGAAGAAACTTTCAAATTTCTTGAAATGTTCCGTATTGACTGACCTTCATACCTTAAAGTAATGATGGACTGTCATTTCTCTTTGCTTATTTGAGCTGTTCTTGCCATAATATGGACTTGGTCTTTTACCAAATAGGGCTATCTTCTGTATAGCCCCCTACCTTGTCACAACACAACTGATTGGCTCAAAGGAAATCAATTCCACAAATTAACTTTTAACAAGGCACACCTGTTAATTGAAATGGATTCCAGGTGACTACCTCCATGAAGCTGGTTGAGAGAAGGCCAAGAGTGTGCAAAGCTGTCATCAAGGCGAAGGGTGGCTACTTTAAAGAATCTCAAATATATTTAGACTTTTTTTGGTTACTACATGATTCCATATGTGTTATTTCATAGTTTTGACGTCTTCACTATTATTCTACAATGTAGAAAATAGTAAAAAATAAAGAAAAACCCTGGAATGGGTAGGTTTGTCCAAACCTTTGACTGGTACTGTGTGTGTATATATCTCAAAACTTAACTCCACTGCTAAACCTGAAAAGTACATGAATTGCAGCATAGCCCAAACATGTCAGTATTTGTCGCGATATTCAGAACTCATTTCCATCTAATTTCTAGGTACTGGGTATCGAGGCTGTACGTAAGGCACTGGAGAGGGAGTTGAACCACGTCATCTCCTTTGACGGTTCCTACGTCAACTACCGGCACTTGTCGTTGCTTTGCGACACCATGACGTGCCGCGGTCACCTGATGGCCATCACGCGTCACGGCATCAACAGACAGGACACGGGACCCCTCATGAAGTGCTCCTTTGAGGAGACGGTAAGAGTCATGTGAGGGTACAGGAAAAAGTGGAAGGGCGGGGGGAGGATGTTGCAGAGGTATTGGTATAAGTTTGTTTTTTCATTAGAACATATTTACGACTTACGTAGGTAGCAATTCTAGTCGCCGCCCTTAATAGTATGAGAAATGTACAGTACCTAGCCTGGGGGTCCAGGTGTCGCTGATTGGCCATAGATTCCACTCACCTTGTTCCCAGGTTTGAAGCAGACCCTGGTGGGAAACAATTAAAATCATTATTAAGCTACTTTTGACCTCGGTCTGGAATTGAGAAAAGGGGTTCTTACATTCCCTCCCTGTCCCAGGTGGATGTGCTGATGGAGGCGTCGTCCCACGGGGAGAGTGACCCTATGAAGGGTGTGTCTGAGAACATTATGCTGGGTCAACTGGCCCCCTGTGGTACGGGCTGCTTTGACCTGCTGCTGGACGCTGAAAAGTGCAAGTACGGCATGGAGATCCCCACCAACATCCCCGGTATCAGCGTGGCTGGACGTGAGTGGCTGCGAATATTCCACACAGTGAATGATAAAAATTAAGCAATAATTTAAAAGTAGTTGTTCACACTGTGCACATTTTCAATCACCAGATTTACTTTTTCGATTGAATGTTGGAATTTGAAATGTATTGGTGTGGACGCATTTGTCCATGACTGATTGAACAACATAGACACATTTTGAAATTTGTGTGCATGTACACTACCGTTCAAAAGTTTGGGGTCACTTAGAAATGTCCTTGTTTTTGAAAGAAAAGCAATTTTTTGGTCCATTAAAATAACATCAAATTGATCAGAAATACAGTGTAGACATCGTTAATGTTGTAAATGGCAATTGTAGCTGGAAAAGGCTGATTTTTTTATGGAATATCTACATAGGCGTACAGAGGCCCATTATCAGGAACCATCAGTCCTGTGTTCCAATGGCATGTTGTGTTTGCTAATCCGAGTTTATCATTTTAAAAGGCTAATTGATCATTAGAAAACCCTTTTGCAATTATGTTAGCACAGCTGAAAACAGTTGTGCTGATTAATTAATAAAACTGTCCTTCTTGAGACTAGTTGAGTATCTGGCGTATCAGCAATTGTGGGTTCAATTACAGGCTCAAAATGGACAGAAACAAAACTTTCTTCTGAAATACATCAGTTTATTCTTGTTCTGAGACGTGAGAAATTGCCAAGAAACTGAAGATCTCGTACAACGCTGTGTACTACTCCCTTCACAGAACAGTGCAAACTGGCTCTAACCAGAATAGAAAGAGGAGTGGGAGGCTCCGGTGCACAACTGAGCAAGAGGACAAATACATTCGTGTCTAGTTTGAGAAACAGATGCCTCACATGTCCTCAACTGGCAGCTTCATTACATAGTACCCGCAAAACACCAGTCTCAACATCAACAGTGAAGAGGCGACTCCGGAATGCTGACCTTCTAGGCAGAGTTGCAAAGAAAAAGCCATATCTCAGACTCACCAATAAAAAAAAGATTAAGATGGTCAAAAGAACACAGACACTGGACAGAGGAAGATCGGGAAAAAAGTGTTATGGACAGACAAATCAAAGTTTGAGGTGTTCGGATCATAAAGAACAACATTCGTGAGACGCAGACCAAATGAAAAGATGCTTGATGCCATCTGTCAAGCATGGTGGAGGCAATGTGATGGTCTGGGGGTGCTTTGGTGGTGGTAGAGTGAGAGATTTGTACAGGGTAAAAGGGATCATGAAGAAGGAAGGCTATCACTCCATTTTGCAACGCCATGCCAAACCCTGTGGACGGCACTTGATTGGAGCCAATTTCCTCCTACAACAGGACAATGCTATGCAATAACTATTTAGGGAAGAAGCAGTCAGCTGGTATTCTGTCTATAATGGAGTGGCCAGCACAGTCACCGGATCTCAACCCTATTGAGCTGTTGTGGGAGCAGCTTGACCTTATAGTATGTAAGAAGTGCCCATCACGCTAATCCAACTTGTGGGAGGTCCTTCAGGAAGCATGGGGTGAAATCTCTTCAGATTACCTCAACAAATTGACAACTAGAATGCCAAAGGACTGCAAGGCTGTAATTGCTGCAAATTGAGGATTCTTTGACAAAAGCAAGGTTTGAAGGACACAATTATAAGTGACCCCAAACCTTTGAACAGTAGTGTATGTTCTCAGGATGTCTGCTTTTCTTCAAAGTATCCATGCATTTATCAACTCATGTATATGGATACATCTCAATGAAGATGGATTGTAAAGTATGCGCATATGAAATGTGGTCTAAAATGTGTCTTCCTTTCCCCAGCCACCGGAATGTTCTTTGGCTCGGCGCCCAGCCCCATGAGTGGCATGTCCCCAGCCATGACCCCCTGGAACACTGGAGCCACCCCCGCCTACGGTGCCTGGTCCCCCAGCATTGGTAAGCCTCAACCTGGGTAGATTTTGACAGTATCCTGGGGGTACAGCGTGGTCCATCCCACCTGCTACTATACTGTTCTATTGACTCATGCTCCGACTCTTTCTGACCTCCAGGTAGCGGGATGACCCCCGGAGCAGCAGGCTTCTCTCCCAGTGCAGCGTCCGACGCCAGTGGCTTTTCTCCGGGCTACTCCCCGGCCTGGTCCCCTACCCCTGGATCTCCTGGGTCCCCGGGACCAGCCAGCCCCTACATCCCCTCTCCAGGTTGGTTCGAAATACCATCTGACACAGGACTGACTGCATTACCTTTTTCCATGTTGTTCTGGGAATAACACTATGAAGCTTGACGTTCTGTGTACAAGTTTTCTTTATTTCTCAAGTCTCTACGTTTTTACTTTTCCAGGAGGTGCAATGTCTCCCAACTACTCGCCCACCTCCCCGGCCTACGAGCCCCGCTCTCCTGGGGGATACACCCCCCAAAGCCCGGGCTACTCCCCAACGTCCCCCTCCTACTCCCCAACCTCCCCCTCTTACTCCCCCACCAGCCCCAACTACAGCCCCACCTCACCCTCCTATTCACCCACCTCCCCGTCATACTCCCCAACCTCCCCCTCATACTCCCCAACCTCCCCTAGTTACTCCCCCACCTCCCCCTCTTACTCTCCAACTTCCCCCTCCTACTCTCCAACCTCTCCCTCTTACAGCCCTACGTCCCCAAGCTACAGCCCTACGTCCCCAAGCTATTCCCCCACCTCGCCTAGCTATTCCCCCACCTCGCCTAGCTACTCCCCCACCTCCCCCTCTTACTCCCCCACCTCCCCCTCTTACTCCCCCACTTCACCCTCTTACTCCCCCACATCACCCTCTTACTCCCCCCACCTCACCAAGCTACAGCCCCTCTTCACCCAACTACACCCCCACCTCACCCTCCTACTCCCCCACCTCACCCTCCTACTCCCCCACCTCCCCTCCTACCCCCCCCCCCTCCTACTCCCCCACCTCCCCAAACTACACCCCCACCAGCCCCAACTACTCCCCAACCTCCCCCTCTTATTCTCCCACCTCTCCGTCCTACTCTCCGTCCAGCCCGCGCTTCACCCCCCAGTCGCCCACTTACACCCCCAGTTCTCCCTCCTACAGCCCCAGCTCGCCCTCCTACTCACCCACCTCTCCCAAATACACCCCTACGTCCCCCTCTTACTCCCCCAGCTCTCCAGAGTACACCCCCACCTCCCCCAAATACTCCCCCACCTCGCCCAAGTACTCTCCGACCTCTCCCAAATACTCGCCCACCTCCCCGACTTACTCCCCGACGACGCCCAAGTACAGCCCCACCTCGCCCACCTACTCCCCCACCTCACCCACTTACACCCCCACCAGCCCCAAGTACTCCCCTACCTCCCCAACCTACTCTCCAACCTCACCCAAATATTCTCCCACCTCCCCCACCTACTCACCCACTAGCCCCAAAGGGTCCACCTACAGCCCCCTGTCTCCAGGCTACAGCAACCCCTCGCCCAGCTTCACCCTCACCAGCCCGGCCATCAGCCCAGACGACAGTGACGAGGAGAACAACTGAGGGAGCCAGGAAGAGAGGGGGCTGAGGAGCCTCTCTCTGCCCCACTCCAAGCCCCTGGACTGGGGCTGGAAAACTGAAGGATAGCCTCTCTGCTGGAGGTGTTGGTGATTTGGGTGGACAAAGAAAAAAAAAAACCTGGGCATCCCACTTGTGATTTTTTTTATTTTGGGGACCACTGTACCCTCCCGGCCTCGTCCAACTCAGGGGGGAGGGTCCCAAAAAATATTTCCTACTATTGTATTTGATAGACTTGAACAGTTTAGCCAGGAGAAAAGGCTGCCTTTTGAACTAGAAGTTTTGTTTCTGTTATTAATTTTCATGTGGGCTGTTGAAGCAGAGTTCTATGTACCTAGAGGAAAGCAGAGGTGAGGGAGATGTGGTTACCACGTTGACAAAAACCTCCCTCCTTTTCAGCACCCAGTCTCTCTCTCTCTCTGAACTTCACTGTTGGATGTATATTTGTAGGGGAGTGTGTTGCCAAAAGCCTTGAGAAATCTACCAGTGGGATTGTATTTCTCTCCTTAAAAAGCATTTAAGCTTCCAAAAAAAACAACTAGAGGAGTAGAAGAGTTGAGCTGATCTTTATTGCATATTTTACTGAAACGTATCTTTAGTTTTTCAGTTTTTCTAAATCTACAGTTGTTGCTGCCAGTTTGGGTTTGAAGAAAAAGTTGAGCTAATGTTTTTTGATGTCAAATCAAATGTTTGTCACATGCGCCGAATACACGGTATATACGTTACAAGCCCTTAACCAACAATGCAGTTCAAGAAATAGAGTTAAGAAAATATTTACTAAATAAACTAAAGACTGGCCAGATTTGAGATGGAACAGAATAAAAGAGTACAAGTCTGCAGTTCAGAACAGTGGGAGTAGAGTAGTGGAAAGGGTTGCCTGGACTCTGCATGTGATAATGAATAGTTGTATTACTTTCAGCACATAGTCCAGGGCTGCAAATGAAGACAGCCTGGGATGGGAGATGGTCAGGTCATGGATGCAGAAAGCTGAAAGGGAGAGAGACTCTTGTAACGAATTTCCGTGGAGACGTTGACATTTTGTCACCTCTCCACGACTTTCCAAATAAACCCTTTATCCTCCCCCTTCTCCCCTTGACCCCCCCCAAAGACAAGCCAGGAAGATGTCAAAAATAACCCACCAGCATTCCTGTGCTCTTCACCATAATATAATAATATGCCATTTAGCAGACGCTTTTATCCAAAGCGACTTACAGTCATGCGTGCATAAATTTTTGTGTATGGGTGGTCCCGGGGATGGAACCCACTACCTTGGCGTTCCAAGCGCCGTGCTCTACCAGCTGAGCTACAGACGACCACACCATGAGATGACACTTGTGTACAACAGCAAAAAAAAAGATTTTTCCAGCAAACCACTTCTTTCCTAAAACACTGGGAAGTATGAGGTTCATGAAAGACTTAGAATGGAATAATGAGATAATATTATTACTATTTGATTCTGTTTGGTTTTAGGAGAGAATGGGGCATTTCTAGGTGGAAGAGGGCTACTAGTTGGTAGGCTTTGCTGCTTCTGTCATTGTTTATGCATTTTAGTCATCCAGTTTTAGGTTGAAGCGCTCTTATTTGAAATCCCTCCCACCTTTCAATAATACTTGTTCCATAATTCTAATTAGCAAATGTAAAAAAAAAAAAAAAAGAAATCTCAATACTTTATTTGGACTCTCGTTCAATTTATTTAAGAAAGAAAAGAGAAGCTTACTACTATTGTGTGAATAAGAATAGAGGATAAATTGAGAATCAATGATTTTTGTTAGTGTTTTTTCTCGTTTGCTTCTGGTGACTTGGTAAGAGCTGTTTGCTAAGAGGTTCTGTGTTCAGGTACTTTGGATGAAGGGGCAGGGAACGGAGGGTAGTACGTTCAGTTTCTCCCCCTTAGGTCTCTCTTCCATTCTGTTTCTAAATCGCCCTGTTCAGTTTCTGCCATTCCGGCTCCAATTTGGGCCAAGATGGCCGCCGCATTCTTGTTCAATTGTGAAAATGTTGCATGCAGTCCATTCGTGAGGCTTCATAGCCTACTGTAAATGTGTTACCGCTAAGTGGCTCTACTACAGTTAGGGTAGAAAATTCAATGTTCAGGTTGACAGGCTTCAATGTTCAGCTTTGTGTTTGTCAGTTACACTCTTGAACACTGGAGAGCGACGTAGCCCTCAGTTGAGTTGACAATCCTTCTCTTGAGGCGTCAGTTCAGTGATTTTTAAGAAAGGAGACCAGCCATTTCGGAGCACCTTTGGCCTCTACATCCCTCTATCCACTACATTAGTGCGACGGTGAATCCTTGAAGTTTATGAAAACCACACACCAAGCATAGACATACTTAACATTCACTACCGGGTGCTCTAACACTTTACTAGGCCTAGTTTGATCGATGAAGGGGACAAGTGTTTGATTCTCGTGCCTGTTTGACTATGGAACACAGATTGTTTTTCCTCTCGTGTTCCCTCCAAGCAATAGGACAGGAAATGATACGTTCCCGACTTTTGATTGGACTAGCTGGCTCTCCCTCCCCCTCTCTTCATCCACAAGTGATTCTGATTAGTTTCTGAAATCAGTTTGTCCTTTTTTTTCTACCAGTGTATGTACCTGTGATTGGTAATCTAGGGGAGGGGGGGAGGGAGCGGGGGGTGGAATACTGTATGGAACTGGGTGTCCTGATGGAATTCCATGATGGGACTGGAACTCGGATGCAGTCCGAATTTGTCGGGATCTTAATCCGGTTCGTGGTCTGGAACGTATTTGGTACAACTCGCCCTGTCTACCAAATGTGTTTCAACAGGGGTGATTTTGAATTGACTGGACTGTACCACCTGCATTGGATACAGGTGTTGGCAATACACTGTTGAAATCCATGCAGTTGGTCTCACCCATCATCGCCTCATGACATGGTGACTTTGTCCACTAGCATCATATCCAATTGATTTACCTGTGTGGTCCAGTCATTTCAAACATACCAGGACTCCCGGTTGTGTGAATGTGTGTTAAAGTGTGTGTTTTGAGAGGTGTGTGTGTGTGTGTGTCGAAGGAGAGACAGGGTTTTCTTGAGTTGGAGAAAAGACTGGACAGGGTGTCTGGGGAAAAGGAAGGATTAAAATTAATTGCCACTGTATAGAAATCAATCCAATATGTCATTCTCTGTATGTTTTTGTTTTTTTTGACTTGAGAAAAAAAATAAAGTTTTACTACAGGTTGTGCGTCTTGTCTTCTTGGTAAGAGTTGCTGTCAGTACCACCAGTAAACTGAATGAATTAACAAATCCCTTCATATAAGTGGAGGGTAGTATGTTTAGTTTCTCCCCCTTTAGGTCTCTCTTCCATTCTGTTTCTAAATCGCCCTGTTCAGTTTCTGCCATTCCAACTCCAATTTGGGCCAAGATTGCCCCCGCGTTCTCATTCAATTGTGAAAATGTTGCACGCAGACAATTCGTGAGGCTTCATAGCAAGCATCTATGGAATACTTGCTATAATAGCAAGTATTCCATAGATCGTCTTACCTTCTAATGGGTAAGACTAGAATTTGGGGTGAGGTAAACGCATTTTGGATCTGAGGTTTTACCTTGACCATCCAACTGATCAATAACCCCCATATGACTATACAATAAAACCGCTATAAGGGCAATTGGTTTCTATTTCAGAGCCCATCACTAGTTATCATGGCTACTGCAATACGATGAATCACTTCTCATAGTAAGCCACCTTGCATGACAGGAGAGCTTGTTTCATTTCCTTACACAGCTTCGATGTGGTTTAGTGACATAGAGCCAGGTGTCACCAAACAGATGTTGTTAGGGCCTAGTTTCATTTCAAACATTAGCCGCTAACCCTAGCCCCTAAACGTTCAGTGTCGAAAGATCTGGAAAATATGGATAGGTGAAAGCAACATGGTATACACTCCATTAAGTCTATGAGAGGGCTTGGTGGGACCATTTGTTATTTGAGATCTGTGAACGCTGAAAGTGTAGGGGCTAAGGGAAGAAGTTAGGGGCTGAAATGGAACTGGGCCCTAATACTGATTGAATGCCAAAGATGGCTATTTTCCGGTCACCTGATATAATACACTGAATCACAGTCACACACTTGAGTCTATTTAGAATATGGGCTTCTCTTTTTCCATCTTGGTTGGTGTATTTGGTAATCAAACACTGCATCCTCATAGCAACCAAAATGGGATGTTCCAGTGATGTATTGAGGATGTAGATGGGCCTCAAAATGTGCCAATTTAGGCTGCCTTGATTAGATCAATAAATATCAATATAACAGTCCGAAATATTGACCAAATGAGTGAAATTACAGATGTACACATTTAGCAGACACTATTGTCCAGACTGACTTTACAAAAAACATATTATGTGAAAGAAGGTTCAAGTTATGGGGTTTGCTGGACACTGCTCAGGAAAATCAGTGCCCCACATAAGAAGTAGAAACATAAGTGTTAAGAAATAGTCATGTCGGTCCAGACCACTATCATCATTAGGGAATCCCCAAGGGTCAAAGTGTAATTGGGTCCCTGTAGAACAGCATAATAATTTCCAGGCTGGTGATTATACAGTGTGTCACTGTGTAGGAGGTCACGTCATTATATGATGGGCAGGTTGGGCACTCAGTCAGGTAAGTGTTCCCCATACAAGGTGTGTCTATGGGAGAGGTCATATACCTATACTGGTAGGTTTGGTTATGTTGCTATGGTGAAGGAATAGTGGCTGAATAGTTCATCATTAAAATAAACAATTGCTCATGCCACAAAGTCATTTACAACTCTTAATCTATTCTGCTAACTTTGTCTCACTAATGCCACACCCTCACACCCTGTTCTTACTCTTTTAGCCCTTCTCCCACTCTCTGTCTGCTTCCTTAGCTTCTCTCTCTCTCTCTACTTTTTCTGCTGTTTCTTTTTTTCTGTAAACCAGTGGGCTGGGCTATGACTGCATGAGACAGAGACAGGAAGAGTGTGTGTCTGAGATTGTGTAACCTTTGCATGACTGCATTTCCTCTCTCTCTCTCTCTCTCTACACTGACGTGTCCTAATCCACTACCTCCTCAATTTAAGTTGCAAGGTAAGATCTATGAAATAATTTCAAAAGAAAAATTCTTATTGTTATTTGTCTTTTCTTCACAACTTTTCCTGAAACAGGATGCATGGCAGGGACATTTATTTCCAAGGCACTCCTTTCTATTAGCGCTCCATCTTGCATTCTTTCCTCAAATTAGCTGAGGAATCTGAGGGAACACTAAAACTAGTCACACTTCGCTTTCCTCCCTCTTTCCATCCCTCCATACTCTCTCGATATCTCTATCAATCATATTGTTAGCTATCTCTTCATTCTCCTCTATCTCTCTCTCTCTCTCTCTGTTTACAGATTGTTTATGGACTCTGCTCTGCACGTGTTCCTTTATCACTCATTTTTTAAATGGAATTATTTTCCCTTTTGAATTTCATCCGTCTCTACTTCCCTGTTCCTCTCCTCTCACCTCATTTCATCTCTTTCTATCTCCCTCACACACACACATGCACCGTGCACGTACACACACGCACGCACACACATACACACTGTCAATCGGCAAATTGCTCTCAATTTCAGTACTTCAGCATAACGATTCCTACAGGTTTTCTCATGGTTCTCATAACATTAAGAAAACTTTCCATAAAAACCACAAGAAAACATTAGTAATGTTCAAAGAACGTTCTAAGGATGTTATTTAAAAACATATACAGTTGAAGTCGTAAGTTTACATACACCTTAGCCAAATACATTTAAACTCAGTTTTTCACAATTCCTGACATTTAATCCTAGTAAAAATTCCCTGTTTTAGGTCAGTTAGGATCACCACTTTATTTTAAGAATGTGAAATGTCAGAATCATAGTAGAGAGAATGATTTATTTAAGCTTTTATTTCTTTCATCACATTCCCGGTGGATCAGAAGTTTACATACACTCAATTAGTATTTGGTAGCATTGCCTTTAAATTGTTTAACTTGGGTCAAACGTTTTGGGTAGCCTTCCACAAGCTTCCCACAATAAGTTGGGTGAATTTTGGCCCATTCCTCCTGACAGAGCTGGTGTAACTGAGTCAGGTTTGTAGGCCTCCTTGCTCACACACGGTTTTTCAGTTCTGCCCACAAATGTTCTATAGGATTGAGGTCAGGGCTTTGTGATTGCCACTCCAATACCTTGACTTTGTTGTCCTTAAGCCATTTTGCCACAACTTTGGAAGTATGCTTGGGGTCATTGTCCAGTTGGAAGGCCCATTTGAGACCAAGCTTTAAATTCCTGACTGTGGTCTTCAGATGTTGCTTCAATATATCCACATAATTTTCCTTCCTCATGATGCCATCTATTTTGTGAAGTGCACCAGTCCCTCCTGCAGCAAAGCACCCCCACAGCATGATGCTGCCACCCCTGTGCTTCACGGTTGGGATGGTGTTCTTCGGCTTGCAAGCTTCCCCTTTTTCCTCCAAACATAACGATGGTCATTATGGCCAAACAATTATATTTTTGTTTCATCAGACCAGAGGACATTTCTCCAAAAAGTACGATCTTTGTCCCCATGTGCAGTTGCAAACCGTAGTCAGGCTTTTTTATGGCAGTTTTGGAGCAGTGGCTTCTTCCTTGCTGAGCGGCCTTTCAGGTTATGTCGATATAGGACTCGTTTTACTGTGGATATAGATACTTTTGTACCTGTTTCCTCCAGCATCTTCGCAAGGTCCTTTCCTGTTGTTCTGGGATTGATTTGCACTTAAGTATGTTCATCTCTAGGAGACAGAACGCGTCTCCTTACTGAGCGGTATGATGGCTGCGTGGTCCCATGGTGTTTATACTTGCGTACTATTGTTTGTACAGATGAATGTGGTACCTTCAGACGTTTGGAAATTGCTCCCAAGGATGAACCAGACTTGTGGAGGTCTACAATTTATTTTCTGAGGTCTTGGCTGATTTGTTTTCATTTTCCCATGATGTCAAGCAAAGAGGCATTGAGTTTGAGGTAGGCCTTGAAATACATCCACAGATACACCTCCAATTGACTAAAATAATGTCAATTAGCCTATCAGAAGCTTCTAAAGCCATGACATCATTTTCTGGAATTTTCCGAGCTGTTTAAAGGCACAGTCAACTTAGTGTATGTAAACTTCTGACCCACTGGAATTGTGATACAGTGAATTATAAGTGAAATAATCTGTCTGTAAACAATTGTTGGAAAAATTACTTTTGTCATGCACAAAGTAGATGTCCTAACTGACGTGCCAAAACTATGGTTTGTTAACAAGAAATTTGTGGAGTGGTTGAAAAATGAGTTTTAATGACTCCAACCTAAGTGTATGTAAACTTCCGTCAACAAAGCTCTCTCTATCCTCTGTCTTGTTAAGTGTGTTCACACCTGATCTTAATGAATGCTTTTTCTTTGAAATGGGGTCAGTTTGAATAGATTAAAATGAACACCTTTTCATGAGTTAAAAAAACACTGCATGCCAGTCAATCCTGGTGGCTCAGTGGACTGATTCCATGTATTGAAAACAGAAGACTAGAGGTTTGAATGTCACTGATGCCATTTCAAAATAAAAAATATTTGTGTTTGCATGATTAATGCCTAAGCAAATTAATTTCCATGTGTCAAGCACTACAGTTCAAAACAGTTAGCAGTGTTATTATGAGTCTTAGTGGAACGTTATTTAATTACCTTAAAATAACCTATCATTTCCGTTCTCAGAACGTTAATAAAAACTCCCAGAAAAACTTTCAGGGTCCTCTGTAGCTCAGCTGGTAGAGCACGGTGCTTGTAACACCAAGGTAGTGGGTTCGATCCCCGGGACCACCCATACACAAAAAAAAAAGTCTGAACGCGTGACTGTAAGTCGCTTTGGATAAAAGCGTCTGCTAAATGGCATATTATTATTACCATAGTAAAAAGTTCTCAGAACCTCCCTGCAACCTAAAAATGAATGTTCCCAGAACAAACTAAATGTTCACTTCCGTTCTCAGAACCTTTAAAAAACGTCCAGTTTTACCTGTCAGGAAACGTATGGCTTTGTTCCCAGAACTAATGGGAAACCAAAAACATACGTTCCCACAATTTCCAAGGAACCAAATGTGCTAGCTGGGAGGTTCCCGGTCTCTTGGGATACATCCCAATTATCTTACATGGTCTCCTTTGCTTGTACACTTGTTTCCTTTCGTTGATCACTGATCTGGTTGGGAGATGCAATGGAGACTAAGGATGTGTTTACACTAATTGGTCTTTGACCAATCAGATCAGCTCTGAAAAAAAGATCTGATGTGATTGGTCAAAAGACCAATTAGTGGAAATAAAGATCAGAATTGGGCTGCCTGTGTAAATGCAGCCCAATTGTTCTGTCCTGTCCTGTCCAATCAATGCTCATGAGAGACATGAGATGAGGAAAGGAGGGCATTCATTTGTTCATTTGTCAGGGGCTGTGTACAAATTGCCTGTTGCACCAGTTAGCCATCTGTCAGTGTCAAGACCTGTTAGTGTCAGGACACATCTTCTTTTTCCCTCTCTCCCTTTGTCTCCCCCTCCCTCATTACCCTGCTCCGGCCCATGGAAAGTGGGTAGGCATTGAAGAGGGGAGAGGGGGAGATTGGGGAGCCAGCCCAGCAGTCATCATTGTCACCGTGGTGTTTAGCGTTTGTCAGGAACCCAACTCTTCCCCCACAGGGCGCCCTTGCCACGGCCGCTCAGATCACTCCCCGGGCTCACGTTACCATCCTCATATAATCTAACCAGGCCAGGTGAGGAGCAACAACACACTCTTCCTTGCCCAGGCCTCCTCAGTCCACTCACACACACATTCACAAACAATCAAGCTGCTATCAGGCAGAATGGAGCTGGAGTCAGGTGCGGTGCCGGAGCTAGCCGAGGGGATCATGCAGTTAAGTGGACCTGGGCTTTTTCTCTCATCTTAACCTCCTCTTCACCACGCTGTCTTAACCTCCTCTTCACCACGCTGTCTTAACCTCTTCTTCACCACGCTGTCTAAGCATTGTAACCCTAACCCCTACCGCCGTACACCTGCAGCCCTATGTGCAGTGGTTGGTGTCCCGTTGGCTACGTGTCCTACCTAGGCTAGAATGTGTGTTCAAATATTTACTTTCTCTTTGTATCTATCACTCTTTCTCTGACTGGTTACTTTTACCAGCTTGTTTTTGTTCTGTTTATTGATTATTTGGAGCTGGCCAATATATTTGATCTGTTTTGTTAATTGGAATTAGGGCACTTCTGTTTTTTACGAGGGCCTAATATCCTTGCTGATAGATAGCATGAGGGTTAGCCTCTATTCTCACTGGGTTCTTGCTACGTGCATGAACTTCCTTACCTGCACTTCCTGATACCTACATCCTTACCTGTGATGTAGAGAAATGTATTGGTTCAGGTTTAGGTGAATATGTAAAAGTTTTAGTGTTTCATTTAGTGTGATTGACTCAGCTATAGTAGTATAAGGAAAGAGGTCCCTGTGGTGTGGTTCACCACTGTTGTAAAAATACCTGAGTAAAAGTAAAGATAGAAAATGACTCAAGTAAAAGTGAAAGTCACCCAGTAAAATAATATTTGAGTAAAAGTCTAAAAGTATTTGGTTTTAAATATACAATACTATCAAAAGTATCAAAAGTCAATGTAATTGCAAAAATATACTTATGTATCAAAGTAAAAGTGTAAAAATCATTTCAAAATCCTTATATTAAGCAAACCAGATGGCACGAATTTTTTTAATTTTTTTAAATTTACGGATAGCCAGGGGCACACGCAAACACTCAGACATAATTTACAAACAAAGCATTTGTGCTTAGTGAGTCTGCCAGATCAGAGGCAGTAGGGATGAACATGGAAGTGCGTGAATTGGACCATTTTCCTGTCCTACTAAGCATTCAAAATGTAACGAGTACTTTTGGGTGTCAGGGAAAATGTATGGAGTAAAAAGTACATTATTTTCTTTTGGAATGTAGTGGAAAAGTAAAAGTTGTCAAAAATATTAGTAAAATGTAAAATGAATGCTTAGTAGGACAGGAAAATTGTAAAGTACAGACACCCAAAAAAACTACTGTAAATTATTTTTACTAAAGTACTTTACACCACTGTGGCTCACCAACACTCAAATACTGTCAATCAATCAGTCAATCAATCAATCAATCAAATGTATTTTTAAAGCCCTTTTTACATCATCAGTTGTCACAAAGTGCTTATACAGAAACCGAGCCTGAAACCCTTGAAATGCAGATGTAGAAGCACGGTGGCTAGGAAAAACTGTCTGGCCACAAGTGAAATTTCTCCTTTAAGTAAGCATTTATGAACCTGGTAACCCGTGCATTCATGCCTTGTGATGAAATATGCATTTGTGAAAGATTGCTCTTGAGAAATTGCTCAACCGGATACATTTAATCTAAAGATTAATTGAGGACAGGGGCCAGGGCTTTAGCTTGTTTGCACCTCTCTCTTTCTCAGTAAGAACCATTGGTAAGAACACTCAGTGGAGTGTTAACTGTGGTAGGCTCTGGGTGATTGCTTGGTGGTAGAGAGTGAGTCACAGTTGCAGTTTCCATAGATACTGATCAAACAGCCACAATCTATGTCTCAAGGGGGGTGGAGCTAACTTAAAAAAGCAGCAGTTTGAATGTCTGAAGCAACTGCCTGTAACCATCATCCTTCCTCACAATAATCCTGTCATGTGACCTTTTACAATGGGCCATCGTTGTGCCAGTCCAATAAAACTTTATCAGTACTGGATTTTTCACTGGCGCCTGTGTGAGTGCCAAAATGAAATGTAAACTGAAAGCCATACCAAGAGTTATTACAGTTGTATTGTTATTTAAACACGTGTTTTGTGCATGCACTGAACTGTGAGAGAGCATTTTCATTTCTTTGGGACACAGTTTACAGAATGTTTCCATTTCACACTGGCTTCTTTCAAGGTTACCCAACACCCAGGCCATTTCCCTTTACAGAGGGGAAACTATGCATTTACATCATTTAGCAAACATTCTAATCCTGAGCATTTAGGGTAAAGTGCCTTTAACATCGACAGTCAGCTTGGGGATTCGAACCAGCCACATTTCCGTTACTAACCCAACACTCTTAACCACTAGGCTACCCGCCACCCATGACAGGTCTTTGCCAGTCTGGCTCTCACTTTACATGCTAGTTACCTACTGGTAGGGTTAAGGTTACCTACTGATAGGTAGCCTACAGTGTAATTATAGTGCAGCTACACGTGTTCTGTGAGAGTTGGGTGTGCCCTTTGGTGAGTGTCACATAGCTGGCTGAAAGGTTCCCAGAATGTAGTAGCTCCAAATATGTTGTAGTTTTGTTTGCTATATATTGTTTATGACTCTGCAAACAGGACACTAAAAGGTCAGTCTGCATGGCGTAGTTGTGTCTACACAGTACAAGTGGATCTCAAACCTTTATTCCATCGTGATCCCCGCAAAGGCTTTTGTATTTGATATTTGCTATATTTTCCATAGCCTACTCCATTTCGTCTGATAACAGTGCACTCACTACAGGTATAATACACAACACATTAGGCTAAACCTGTGTGCTTATTAACCCATATAGACCTTTCATTATTTGTTTAGGGTTTAATGAATAGAAACAATCAACATAGTGCTGTGATTCAGGGTGAATGATTTCTAATGGACAACATCAATGCTAACTGTCTCTCCAATGATATTCATTTTTTTATGTCATTTAGCAGATGCTCTTATCCAGAGCGACATACAGGAGCAATTAGGGTTAAGTGCCTTGCTCAAGGGCACATCAACAGATTTTCCACCTAGTCAGCTCAGGGATTAGAACCAGTGACCTTTCGGTTACTGGCACAACGCTCTTAACCACTAAGCTACCTGCCGCCCCAATATTCCACCTGCCTTCTGTTTCGTACAAAAACAAATGCCTGGCAGCAGGGATGGCGTTTGCAATGCCAGGGTTGTGGGTTCGATTCCCATGGGGGGCCGGTATGAAAAAATTATGTATGCACTCACTAACTGTAAGTCGCTCTGGATAAGAGCGTCTGCTAAATGACTAAAATGTAAATGTAAGTGACACTAGCCACCTTTAGTGTAGACAAAACCAGCCTGTAAGACCAGGTGACTTGAGTATAGCCTTTATAAAATGTTTCAACATTGATTTATCTTTGAATATGACTATAATTTATTGAATCCTATTGTCACAGGGAAATAACATTGACAGAGGTACTGTGATAGGAGGAATCATGAAAGTGATTGTTTATTTGTCTGAGTAACGTCAGGAATGCCCACAACATGCCCTGCTACAAAATCACTAAAGTGTAATATAGCTTTGGCAACGAGAGAGAGAGAGAGAGAGAGAGAGAGAGAGAGAGAGAGAGAGAGAGAGAGAGAGAGAGAGAGAGAGAGAGAGAGAGAGAGAGAGAGAGAGAGAGAGAGAGAGACTTAGTGTGTGCATGTGATACGATTTGCCCTATAGGCACACCCTCTTTTGTACAATGAATGACATTAGTGCCATATGGGTCGGTATGTCTGCTATGGTATTGTATTACACAACAACGATGTAACCCATCTACCCTTATTGTCTTTATCAAGCAACTTGACCCCTCATTTGGCATCTTCTCTTCTAGTAATGTCTACCTTTATTTTCCTGTTTCTGTGTTCCTGCAGAAATAGTTATTCATGTCATGACATGATTATATGAGTTCTCACTTCTCACCCATTCTCCACTGCCGCTTTCTCTGTTCCTTGTCTGGACTTCAATATGGAAATAAGTATTCTTGCCTTGACAAGTAAAAACGATTTATCTTAGTTGACTGTTTCTGCAACCTCCAGCAGCAACAACTCCCAATGTCTATTTGTCTCACTCATTTCATAGCAAAGAAATACACCCCCTTCCCACAACCCAAACAATAAAACAGACTCTACTTTCACCCTCTCACTTCCAACTCTCCCCTCCCCAATCTACCATTTGTTTATTCCATTCATTTATCAGACGCTCTTATCCAGAGCGATTTACAGTTAGTGAGTGCATACATTATTTTTTTATTTTTCATACTGGCCCCCCGTGGGAATCAATCCCACAACCCTGGCGTTGCAAACGCCATGCTCTACCAACTGAGCTACATCCCTGCCGGCCATTCCCTCCCCTACCCTGGACGACGCTGGGCCAATTGTGCGCCGCCCCAATTTATCCTCCACCTCCCCCTCCCCTGACCCGCTCTTCCATCTCCCTCTACCCAGTGCAGAATGCGCCCTTTCCAGGCAGCTCCCCTCCCCCCTCCCCCATAAACCTACATCCTAACTCCTCCATCCATCCATCCCCCACCTCTACTGACCCACTCTCTCCTCTCCCTCTCCCCGTACAGAATGTTCCCCAACATGGCAGCACCTGGACAGTTTGGGCCAGAGACGCGGGAGCCGGGGCTGAAGGTGTGGCGGGTGGAGAAGATGAAGGCGGTGCTGCTGGAGCCAGCTGAGGTTGGGGCCTTCTACAACGGAGACTCCTACCTGGTGTTGGAGCACAGAGGGGACCAGGGGGCAGACCTACACATGTGGATAGGTGAGATTAAGGAAAATGGATGCATGATATATGTGTCAAATAAGTAGGGTCAATAGTTTTTCCTGACCAGGGTCTGTATTGACAAAGCATCTCAGAGTAAGACTGCTGATCTGGGATCAAGTTCCCCAGTCGTATTCATTATGATCTAAAAGGCTAAACTGGTCTTAGATCAGCACTCTTACTCTGATAGAGCCTGGAGTTTTTCCTGGACAAGTCACGTGGCCATGATAAACTTTGGGCCCCACTATTTTAGGTATTGGGCATAAAAACCTGTAGAATGATGTAATAAAATGCTCCACCATTTACCTTTATTGAAGTACAAGACAATGTTTTGATCCATACTGATATTTGCCAGAACTTCAATAGAAACAGATGTAGGAGCCTTTGAGTGTTCTACTCATCTAACTGTTATTAAATGGGTGAGTTGCGGTCATCATGGGGGATGGGGAGGACGGGGACTATCTGTGTACATTAGAAAGTGTATACACATAAGAGTGGAATGGAAAATTATATCTCAGTCTCTTGGGATAAGAGTCCTTTATTATCATTTATGGATGGAGTCTCCTAAAAAAAAAAGGGTTCCAAAAGAGTTATTCGGCTGTCCCCATAGGACAACCCTTTTTGGTTCCAGGTAGAACCCTTTTGGGAACCCTCTGTGGAAAGGATTCTACATGGAACCCAAAACCGTTTTACTTGGAACCAAAAGGGTTCTTCAAAGGGTTCACCTATGGGAACAGCCGAGGAACCCTTTTAGGTTTTAGTTAGCCATTTTTTTTTCTAAGACTGTAAGCTTGTATCCAATATTGCTCTGTAAATCCAAACTACACTGCATGGCCAAAAGTTGGTGGACAACCCTTCAAATTAGTGGATTTGGCTTTTTCAGCCACACCCGTTGCTGACAGGTGTCTAAGATTGAGCACACAGCCATGCAATCTTCATAGATTCACATTGGCGGTAGAATGTTCCATACTGAAGTGCTCAGTGAATTTCAAAGTGGCACCGTCATAGGATGCCACCTTTCCAACAAGTCAGTTACTCAAATTTCTGCCCTGCAAAGCTGCCCGGTCAACTGTAAGTGCTGTTATTGTGAAGTGGAAACGTCTAGGAGCAACAACGGCTCAGCCGCGAAGTGGTAGGCCACACAAGCTCACAGAACAGGACCACCAAGTGCTGAAATGCGTAGCACCTAAAAATCAGCTGTCCTCAGTTGCAACACTCACTACCAGGTTCCAAACTGCCTCTGGAAGCAATGTCAGCACAATAAATGTTCATCTGGAGCTTCATGAAATGGGTTTCCATGGCCGATCAGCCGCACACAAGCCTAAGATCACCATGTGCAATGCCAAGCGTTGGTTGGAGTAGTGTAAAGCTCGCCACCATTGGACTCTGGAGCAGTGGAAACACGTTCTCTGGAGTGATGAATCACGCTTCACCATCTGGCAGTCCGACGGACGAATATGAGTTTGGCGAATGCCAGGATAACGCTACCTGCCCAAATGCCTAGTGCCATCTGTAAAGTTTGGTGGAGGAGGAATTAATAATAGTCTGGGGCTGTTTTTCATGGTTCGGGCTAGGCCCCTTAGCTCCAGTGAAGGGAAATCTTAACGCTACAGCATACAATGACATTCTATACGATTCTGTGCTTCCAACTTTGTGGCAACAGTTTGGGGAAGGCCCTTTCCTGTTTCAGCATGACAATGCCCCCGTGCACAAAGCGAGGTCCATACAGAAATGGTTTGTCGAGATTGGTGTGGAAGAACTTGACTGGCCTGCACAGAGCCCTGACCTCAACCCAATCGAACACCTTTGGGATGAATTGGAACACCGACTGCAAGCCAGGCCTAATCGCCCAACATCAGTGACCGACCTCACTAATGCTCTTGTGGCTGAATGTAAGCAAGTCCCGCAGCAATGTTCCAACATCTAGTGGAAAGCCTTCCCAGAAGAGTGGAGGCTGTTATGCCCATGATTTTGTAATGAGATGTCCGATGAGCACTTTTGGTAATGTCATGTACTAGCCAACCCATTGTGTACACACCTAATTAACCTCTGAGCGGTTGAAAAGTGAATAACCTGCGTGCTAATGGTGATGACACACCATGACACTGACCCAACGACTGATTATGAGGACGGAGACTAAGACTGACAGATGGAAGGATGATGACAGAAGAAGGATGGGGTTAATAGAGGAGGAGAGCTCCCTAAGAAAGAAGGGCTGGGTTTTGTGTGTGTGTTTGTGTCCTCCTACTCACCCCTCCCCTCGCTTCCTTCCCCCCCAGGTGAGAAGTCATCTCGTGATGAGCAGGTGGCATGTGCCATGCTCGCCACTCAGCTGGACAGCTTCCTGGGTGGTGACCCCATCCAGCACCGCCAGGTCCAGGGCTACGAGTCTCCAGAGTTCATGAACCTCTTCCCCAGGGGGGTCAGCTACAAGGTGAGCCGGTGGATGGTACTGACAACACAGGGCCCATCTCTTTAAGAAATGTACTTGCATGGGAATTTATGTGCAAACTTTTGTGTTTCTCTTGGACATCAATGTGTGATTTACTGTATCTGAAACTTGGAGTAATCCATGTGTTTCCCACATTAGACTTGGGCTCACTATGGGTAATCCATGTGTTTCCCACATTAGACTTGGGCCCACTATGGGTAATCCATGTGTTTCCCACATTAGATTTGGGCCCACTATGGGTAATCCATGTGTTTCCCACATTAGATTTGGGCCCACTATGGGTAATCCATGTGTTTCCCACATTAGATTTGGGCCCACTGTTGGTAATCCATGTGTTTCCCACATTAGATTTGGGCCCACTGTTGGTAATCCATGTGTTTCCCACATTAGATTTGGGCCCACTATGGGTAATCCATGTGTTTCCCACATTAGATTTGTGCCCACTATTGGTAATCCATGTGTTTCCCACATTAGATTTGGGCCCACTGTGAGTAATGCATGTGTATCCTAACGTGTTAGGATTGAGTCCTCTACTGACAGTAAATGTAATGTTTTTCCTGTTTCAAATCCATGATTGAGGACATTACTTTACAAGCAGTCCTCTTCATAATTTCATCACATGCTACTGATTTCTTGTCATATCGTTCCACATATGCAAGCATTTCGCTACACCCGATATAACATCTGCTAAACACGTGTATGTGACAAATAACATTTGATTTGATTTGATCTCTCTCATTGAAGCGATAGCTCGTAAAATCCTTAGAGACTTCCTGGTTAGATACAGATTTTACAAAAAATCTAACATAAACAACATTTTCATATTGTTATATTTTTCTCTTTCTTTTCTTTTTCCTCTCTCTTGTTACTTTTATTCACTCTCTCCCTCAAACACACACATTAGGAGGGTGGTGTGGAGTCTGGCTTCAGGCGGCCCCAGGGCGGGTCAGGGCCGGTCTACAGGCTGTACCAGATCAAAGGGAAGCGCAACATCCGTGCCAAGGAGGTGGAGCTGAGCTGGCAGAGCTTCAACAAGGGAGACTGTTTCATCCTGGACCTGGGAGAGGTGAGAGGGGGGAGGGGGGAGGGGGGAGAGGGGAGGGAGGGAGTTGAGAGGTGACAGTGAGTGTTGCAAATTCCCTGCGGGAGACTTTTAGCAGTGAGGGCAGGGAGAACAACATTACATTGTTGCCTTAAATGGCACATTTTCCTTAATTAGGGCTCAGTACAGTAGGCCTACTATCAAATCATACAGTATATTATCCACTTCAGACGAGACAATAAAAAACAAACATGTTTATGTCTTTAGACCATATTTTCGTGGATCGGCTCGCAGGCCAACATGTTTGAGAAGCAGAAGTCGCGTGAGATCGCTAGCCTGATCCGCGACACTGAGAGACATGGCAAAGCATGCATCACTGACATCAATGAGGGGGAGGAGACGCCAGAGATGCTCAAGGTAAAATGACCGACTTAGTCCTTTCCTCCCAAAGCAAATGAAAACAGTCACAGACCTAGAGCACAGGAGGCTGCTGAGGGGAGGACGGCACATAATAATGGGCGGAACGGAGTAAATGGAATGGAATCAAACACATGGAAGCTACAGGATGTGTGTAATCTATTTGATACCACTCCACTCCACCCATTACCGTGAGCCTGTCCTCCCCAATTAAGGTGCCACCAACCTCCTGTGACCTTGAGACTTGTCAATCCTGTAATGTCTAAGCATATTTAGAGACTTTGATATCAAGGTATAGGAAGGTAATGGGAAGGTAATACTCCATTCCAGCCATTATTATGAGCCGTCCTCCCCTCAGCAGCCTCCACTGATATAAACCTCACAACAATCCATCTTCCACTCTGCCCTGTGATTGACAGGTGCTGGGACCAATGCGAGAGCTGGCAGAGAGCACTCCAGAGGAGGACAGTCAAGCAGACGTCTCCAACTCCGCCTCCCTCTACAAGGTAGCTGGACATTACAATTCCATTGGTAAACAGTTATGTATCTCCAGAACTGTTCTATTGCATTACATCATTACTGTTGTAAATGGATAGCTCACCCCAAAATCTGAAATCTGAATTTGAGATATTTTGGAATGTAGACGGCATAGCACAGCTATACTTTAGGGCTCTTTTTTCCCAAGATCAAACAAGATTTTTGGGGTGAACTAGTTCACAAATGAACTAAAAGTCATGGCCGGTGTTATTGTCCTCCACAGGTGTCCGATGCGACAGGCCAGATGAAACTGACCAACGTCTCGGAAAAGAGCCCATTTGCCAAGGACCTACTGGTGCGCGACGACTGCTTTATTCTGGATAACGGGGCCAACGGAAAGATCTTTGTTTGGAAAGGTAAATAATAAAATAATAATAAATAATATGCCATTTAGCAGACGCTTTTATCCAAAGCGACTTACAGTCATGCGTGCATACATTTTTACGTATGGGTGGTCCCGAGGATCGAACCCACTACCCTGGTGTTACAAGTACCATGCTCTACCAATTGAGCTACAAGGAAAGCACGTGAACCTTGACTAAAATATTTCTGCTCCATTAAATGTTTCCCTAGAATAATGTTTGCGATATACAATGTCTAAATAAATACTAATTTAATCAGGGTTTGTATTGAATACAGTTAACAGACATTATTGTGTTGAGACCTTACTGAGACCTCTATGGTTGAGACTGAGGGAAGACATGGTGAGACGTTATCCCACTGATGATTGACAGGTATGGGAGCCAATGCGGAGGAGAAGAGGGAGGCCCTGAAAATGGCGGATGACTTCATCCAACAGATGAACTACCCCAGGATGAAAACGCAGGTGAGTCAAGCATCTCACAAATGGCAAAAACCCAGACATTATTTCCTCATTATCCAGCCATTAAATCTACCCAGCAACATAACATCAGCAACTGATAGCATCATGATTTCATTATTCCTGAAAACAGAAGAATTTGGGCATTTGAATTCCAGTAAGTCAAACCGAATTCCTTGTATGTCTTCTTCCATTGTCACAATGCAATGTGCATGTGTAACCACTAACTAGCAGGTCATGAACCCAGTATCATAAATGTTTTATGTGTATACAATGGGGTGGTTTATGTGCCAGTCATGTCAAATCTCTGTACTCTCTTACAGGTGGAGATACTACCACAAGGGAGGGAGACGATCATCTTCAAGCAGTTCTTCAAAAACTGGAACTAAACTACAATGGCTTTCAGAAAAGGGTCTCAATATTGCACTCGTAAAATATTATGAAATTGCAACCTGGAAAAATAAAAGATCTTAATGTTTAAAAGTCTTCTCATCAGGAGTGACAGCATCTCAAATTCAAAAAAAATTATATATTTTTTAATGTGTTTACTTATATGTAAATATTTGTAAGGTACTATACTCATAGAAAACACATCTTTAGTCATGCTTAGGTCAAATAAACTCAAAATAATAAGAGCATTTATAATGGTGTCACACCAAATGGAACCCTAAGTCACTACCTCTGGTTCTGACTGGGAAGGAAAACGTGTGCTCACTGGTCTCTGTTACTAGTCTCATATTATTTCAAGCCAAGATGACATTCCACAAATCCTATAAGGTGAATTTGTTTGGTTTAGTCTTTTTTTTTTTTTACATTTGTTTAAGAATAACAGGATATATTCCAATAATACATGTAGGAGGCTACAGATGATGAAAATAAATGGAAACTGAAACAACACGTACAGTGTGTGGTTTCATCCTTTGGTTCCTGACAACTGGCACCCTATTCCCTACGTAGTGCACTACTTTCGACCAGGGCTCATAGGGCCAGAAGCAGTGCACTATATAGGGAATAGGGTGCCATTTGGGACGCGTGCATTGGGTGACTACGTTTTTATTACCTGTGTCAACTCTCTCCAGCTAGTTTTCTTTACTGGAATAATCAATGTATTTCACCTTTCACCTGGTGAGACTACATTGCTCGGTTGTTCCCTGGATAAACACTTAACAGGTTAACCCGCCTACACCTGAGGGAACTACCAGTAGACTCAACAGTTTACTTACGTAACCTTCTGTAAACGTTAACCTCCAGGAGCTACTGTTGGGGTTGTCAAAGATAGCCTATTTTGATGTCATGTTCTAAAGCTGTGTATTTACAGTGCCTTCAAAGTTTTCACACCCTTGACTTTTTCAAAATGTTGTTGTGTTACAAAGTTGTATTTAACGGTCTACACAAAATACTCTGTAATGAAAAAGTGGAAGAAAAATTTGAACATTTATTAAACATTTATGAAAAATAAAACACTAATATACAGTATCTTGATTAGATCCGTTTTTAACCCCCCCCCCCTCCAAAGAGCTTTGGACACCTGGATTGTACAATATTTGTCCATTATTCATTTAAAAAATCTTCAAGCTCTGTCAAGTTGGTTGTTGATCATTGCTAGAAAGCCATTTTCAAGCCGATTTAAGTCACCTGTAACTAGGCCACTCAGGAACATTCAATGTAGTCTTGGTAAGCAACTCCAGTGTATATTTGTATACTATCCCGCTCTCTCTCTCTCAGATGCATAGATCACACACACACACATAGCCGCCCATGGCTGCTGACGGTGCTGCAGCACCCCCCCTGATTATTATTTTAATTGTTTTTTTATTATTATTTTCTTCACAAAGGTAGTGCCTTTACTAGTCCTTCCCGCGGCTATGCACGCGCGCACACACACACACACACACACACACACACACACACACACACACACACACACACACCTACTGTCACGCCCTGACTCTGGGGACTCTTATTTGTTGAGTCAGGGTGTGATTTTCTATGTTGTATTTTCTATGTTTGGATCTAGTATGTCTAGATCTATGTTGGCCGGTGTGGTTCCCAATCAGAGGCAGCTGTCGCTCGTTGTCTCTGATTGGGGACAATACTTAGGCAGCCTATTGGCACTAGTGGGTTGTGGTATCTTGTTCTGTATAAGGTATGTTGTTTGTGGCTACCTTGGACGTCACGGTTCGTTTAGTTTGTTGTTTTGTCGTTGTGTTTATTCGTTATAATAAACATGTATGCATATCACGCTGCGTCTTGGTCCGTCCCGTCCTTCAACGAACGTGACACCTACACACGCACAGACCATTTTCACTTATCAGAAACATATCCACAAGACCTTGACCGATTTCTGGGCCATTCCTGACACTTCACCTGGCAACAGTAAAATATTCAGGTCTGTGTGATGATTGGTCAGTATGATGCGAAGATCCATGCAAATGCTCAACTATGATCCGTATGATTTAAAATGTATGGTCCCTATTGCTTTTTTTGTCTTAGTAACAATTATTTAGCAGTTCAGTTCAGATAAGGGAATGCCAACCTGGCAGTTATATGGTTGTTTACTCAACAGAGATATATACCCATGATAAAGCAACATTAAACCTTACTCTATCATAGGTAGCTTATAGTTTGCGTCACAATTAGGTACCGGTGACGTAGGGATGAGTGTACAGTCTATTAAATAAATGGCCTGTGATAAGCCTGTTCATTTGTGAGGTGGAAGGAGTGTCTGTTTGTGTGGCCCTCTCTCCTCTCTAACCAACCTTATTACTGTAGGTGAAAGGAGAAGGTAGTCACATCATGGGTGAATCATGTATGAGTGTACACAAGATAAGGGACCCTCTTTTCCAATACCAGAATTTGACTCAAATCCTAAATGTCTATGTCATCTCTAAATAAGAGTATGTTAGGTATAGAGCACAGATTCATACAAAATAAAATACTTTCATTTAGCCATGAAAGTTGGAAAACTGTACTGTACGGGCATAAGTATACAGTTGCTAATGATTGATCCACTAATATAGCATCAAAGATGGTGAATCTGCGTCACTTCGGGTTGTAATCAACGTGTGACCTTCATGACCCAGTATCACTATCATTTCTCACGCTCTCTCCTTATGGTAAAGCCAACAGTGATTGCTAGGAAGGTAGACTGATTATACTTGATATCCTTGCAGAAAAGTCCCCCCTCCATCTCAGTGCCAAGGACCATAAACAGGTCCAAAGATCAAACTGCATGCACTGTAACAAAAACAGCAAACGGGCAGGGTTTGCTGTACCAACTACCAAGACCACGCACCAGCCCCGACCTTCACGCATAGGGTAGGATTTTGGATTATTTTTCATTTTTATCTCAAAGGTGTTATTCTTTGTCATTTGATCTAATGTAATGATAAACCCATTGTCATGTTTAGTTTTAATTGTGATAAAGATTATATTTATGATATTTCCTTCTCTATTGAAGTACTTTTCATAGCTTCAACAGTGTCCTCTGTCATTGTTTTTAGTTCTGCATTTAGATTTTGTGTATATCATATCAATGTATATTCAAAGCTTGGTAGTGGACTTTCAGTTTTAAGTTAAGTGTATTTGACGTGTGACCGTCAAATTTGCAATTTTGTACAATTCAACATGTGGATATGGATTAATAAATTAAATCCTTGGTGGCCTCAACTGTCATATGGAATATTTTGTAAGTAGTCTACTCACGCTCACACAGGACTAAGGATGGCAACTTTCGAAATGAAGAGCATTCTGAAGGTGTCTAGTAAGTATTTTTCCCTTTTCCTTACTGATATATATATATATATATATATATATATATATATATATATACTGTATATATTTTTGATATTGTGACCTTTTTAGTTGACCACAAATCAAGTAATCTTTGTTTAGAACTATTTTGAATTGCTTGTCATTGTATTAAACGTGACTACATTGATAATTATTTATTGTTGTAATATGAACATAGAATTGATTGCAAACTGGTATTAAATCTTTATCGAATCAGATCACAATCGTCCAATACTGAGGCAATCGTTAAAACAAGCATAGGCCAGTCAATTTTAGGACATTACTATCTACTACTATCTATCTACTGTATGGCACTGCCAGTGTAGGGGAGACTGGAGACTTTTACTCTAATGAACTAGGTCAGTAATTTGTCTCATAATCATTCATAGGTCTGTACATAAGACGGTAGGTTCACAATATTTTCATCCGAAAAGTCCGGACATTGCATTTTCCCCCGTGCCAGAGGCACTTGTAACAGTAGCTGGGGTCAAATATAACACCTAAAAAAATTAACCAAATTAATTCATGTTCATGAATTATCATATCATAGACGTATGTAATGATTTTGCTAGAAATATGACTATTTCTATGTAGGTAACCAATAATTACAGTAACAACCATATTTGTGCATGGCCATTCGGTTCCTCTCTAAACATCTGAATAGTTTCTTTCACCCCTAAAAAAACTAACATTTGCCCATACAACGCAGATATCTGGCTGTAACTTTTTAAGCAGGGTGAGAACCTAAATGTGCATGTACTGTGTGAGTTTCATCACTCTAGCTCTTTTCTGATTGGAGAAATTCAAGGTTTTACAATTGCCCCCTGTTACAATTCCCCCAGTCCCCCCTACTACCATTGAAACATTTGTATTATCAGTTCAAATTCACGATGCACAAAATAGTTAATAGTTACTATTTTATAATTTTTTACCTTTTAAGCAATAACTAATTTGATCTAATTAAATCTGATGTCGAGTTAAATGTATAAGCTTAATTAAAGGTAACTCTAAAATATATCTGTGTCCTTCAACCCTCATCCACTCTAATCTCATTTTATCACTGTTTCACCTCCAGAGCTCAACTCCCGGCTGAAGTTGGAGAGCTCTACCCAGAGTCACTCCATAGGGGCGGTGCGCTGGAACCTTCCTGAGGAAGACCTCCAGGCCCACAGCTCAGTCCCTACCAGCCCCTCCAAGAGCAGCGCCCCCTCCACACGCCGCTTACAGGTAGGCTACACGCAAACACACACACACACACACGCACACACACACACACACACACACCTCCATCCACTCACAGCATCACATCAGCATCCAGTCCATCCAAAAGTCTTTCTATTAATTTGTGCACTCTTCTACCTGTATGTGTTTGTACTGTTTTTCTACATTTGCCTGCTCATCCTGTATGTGTGTTTCTCTTGTAGCAACACCCTCGTCAGAACGGCCTGAAGAACCTGCGCAGCCTGCAGGAGTGTGTCCGCTTCATCAACCACTGGAAGAAGCAGGTGGCCCAAGTCTGCAAGGTAAGTAGGCCCCTGAGAGGGAGAGAGAGGGGAAGAGAGTGGGAGACAGGGGAGACATACATTTATAGAAATAAAAAGGAAGAGCGATGTGGGTAAGAGAACGAGGAAACAAAAGCAGTAACTGAGAAAGCTCAGACAGACCAGGAATGCACATTGATTTCCAACATTAGTATGATAGTATTAGCGATAGTATTAACGATAGTATTAGTGATAGCATTAATTTGCCCCTTATTTGTATTAATGCAAAATGCCGCTGGAATTATGGATTGTGAGGTCAAAGAACAAGTAAATGCACAGGGAAGTTAGATGTGCAGTGAAGGAGAAACAGTAGGCCTGGCTTAGTGGAGCTGGCGTCAGTCACTGGGGAACTTTGAGACAGGTGTTGAATGAAGCCTAGATAGTGAATAAGGCCTGTCTGTAGGTCAGGGATTGTTCACCGTTAACCAAAAAGTATAGAGAACGGAATCTTTACAGAGAACGGAATCAATCGTTTAATACTTTCCCTTATAGAAGAAAAAGTATTGGAATTTAGCGGATTTATTACCTTTACATTTGACATTTTAGTCATTTAGTAGACGCTCTTATCCAGAGCGACTTACAGTTAGGGCATTCATCTTAAGATAGCTTGGTGGGACAACCACATATCACAGGCATAGTAAGTAAACTTCTCCTCAATAAAGTAGTTATCAGCAAAGTCAGAGCTAGAAGGGGGTGAGGGGGGAGTCAAGTACAAGTGTTGGTTCACTGATATTGGATAAACATTGCTAAGCAAGACAGATGACACAGTTAATTGAGGTATATGTTGTGAAATTGTTAGATATTACTTGTTAGATATTACTGCACTGTCGGAGCTAGAAGCACAAGCATTTCGCTACACCAGCAATAACATCTTCTAAACACGTGTATGTGACAAATAAGATTTGATTTGATTTGATGGGTAGGGAGGGTACTGATATGGGGGTTCTTATCGCCCTTTACAGCTCTGTTAACCCACTCCAGTGCCCCGTGGTGCTGAGCTGGAACACACAGGGTTATAGTCAAACCATGTATCTTAGGCAGATACCCCTCCAGGGTGGGAGGAGAGGTTACAGGGACACTAGGGCAGGGGCGGGAGATTTTTACAAGGGGGCCAGGTGGGGGTTGGAGGTAGGGCGGTGTCGGGAGTGCTGAGCTGGCATCTGGCGTAGGACTGCCAGGTGGGAACAGGGTTACATAACGAAAAACACACTCAACCATCCCATTTTGCAGTTATTTGATCTGGTTTTGCAACGCATGGCTAAATGTTTTCGCCTTGTGCCTGTTTTTTTTTGTGTGTGAATCAAGCTATATTTCACGCAAAATCACACGCTGTACTCGGTCAATGGAGAACGCAGTATTGCTACGACATTGCTATGACAGTAATAAGATGGTTGAGATGAGAAAGCTAAACACACTATTGAGAATGTACAGTTTGATATTGACCTTGTTGCTGTTTTGTGTTGTTGCAGAGTGGCAGTGATGCGAGGGAAGGCACCAGTAAAGGAGAGACCCCTGTGGAACTGAAAGACCCCAAAACAGAACGCAGTCTAGAGGAAAGCAGGAAACTCATTCTCCTGTGGGCCAATGAGCTCAACAGTGTCGACCAGGTGTTGAAGAAAAGCCCCTGGGTGCAGGAGAGAAGTGAGGAGGAGGAGGAGGAGGAAGCAGAAAACAGGGATGGAGAGGAGGACCCTAACGAGGAAGTGCAGCAGAGGATCATGGAGTGGGCCAAGGAGCTGCAGAGCGCCTCAGAGGTGAGAGGTCAGGGGTCAAGGATACAAATATATATAAGAGACAAAGGAACACTACTGAAGAAGGAAATGGGGGAAATACGGTGTTCCCTTAGTTAACTGCTATCTGCAGATTTGCTAGCAAAAACAGACCATTTAGTATAAGGGCTAAAAGGTCCAAAAAGTGTGATGGGAGACCCATAGAGATGACTTGGTATTAACGTCCATGTGTCTGTGTCTACACAGAGCTGTGGGGTGCAGAGCGATGAGCTCGGCAAGGTTCTGCGTCTGGTGGGCCTGAAGAAGAAGAGACTGGTCAACCTCCTGCCCTTACTGGAGTTCATTACCTGGTCACTGCTAAAGGAGGACTGCAAGGTGAGATACAGACACCGACGTACGCAGGCGCACACAAACAAACACACACATAGAAAAACAGAATAAAAGCTGCAAAAGAGGTCAACACTATATATTAGCGAACTAGTTTAATAGTTTATTCATTTATTAGGGGTCTTCTCATAAAACATAACACAACTCGTGATGTTATGCTTACCCTCACCTGAATCCATTGTAATTAGTTAGCAATGTTCCCTCTTAAACATTCACATTTCTGTTGATTGAGAATCAGCAATAACATTATATAGGCTATATGCTCAAATATGCATACCTACCTACCTACCTACACCAGGTAAAAAAACCTAGGTGTTATTTTAGATTCTGAACAAAATTTCGAATCACACATTAGGAATGTGACCAAAATAGCTTTTTACCACCTGAGGAACATTGCCACGGTGCGGCCGTTTCTCTCTCAGGCTGATACAGAGAGACTCATCCATGCTTTCATTACAAGCAGGCTTGACTACTGTAATGCTCTCCTGTCTGGTCTACCCAAAAAAGCCATTGGTCAACTGCAAAACATACAGAATGCTGCAGCACGGGTACTGACCAAGACCAGATAGATAGCACACATTACACCGGTTTTAAGGTCTCTGCACTGGCTGCCTGTGAGGTTTAGAATTAATTTAATAGGACTAAAATGTCAATTGGATCACAAAAAAAAAAAAAAAAAAAAAATGGAAATTAGAAGCATTCATTTCAAAGTTACAGAACAAAAGTAAGGTTCTTTAGCAAGATCATGATGGATTAGATGAGGTATTTTTTTTAAATTACTTTCTATAGTATTTAAACCACCATATCAAAGCCTTTTTTTAAATTCAATATCTAGTAATACTATTGGGATATGTTACAGTACAAAACATTTTAAATAAACATCACAAGACAGTCATCCCAAACCAAACTCCATACAGCCCTGTCTGTCTCATCACCCATACAGTAGAGTGAATGATTGACTGTTGTCTTGTCTAAACTTCATGCCCGCTGTACTTTCGCCTTGTTGTGATAAGGCCCCAGGTCATTCAATATAGTGCAATAAAACATAATGTAGAGAACTGCCAGTCTAGCATTTACATCATACTGTCCTCTGTATCAGCATAATCTGTAATCTGTAGGTGTGATCTGCCTATTGGTCAGGGTTGACAAGAATATGTATGCATTTTAATCTGTTGATCTGGTCTGTGTCACTTTGATCAATACATTTCAAGTCACAGTAAAAAAAAAAAAGATGAAAATGAAACTCTTAAAGCCTGCGTTCCTAAACCTTACCCGCGTTCCTGAACTTTACCCGCGTTCCTAAACTTTCCCAGCGTTCCTAAACTTTACCCGCGTTCCTAAACTTTACCTGCGTTCCTAAACTTTACCCGCGTTCCTAAACTTTACCCGCGTTCCTAAACTTTACCCGCGTTCCTAAACTTTACCCGCGTTCCTAAACCTTACCCGCGTTCCTAAACTTTACCCGCGTTCCTAAACTTTCCCTGCGTTCCTAAACTTTACCCGCGTTCCTAAACTTTACCTGCATTCCTAAACTTTACCTGCGTTCCTAAACTTTACCCGCGTTCCTAAACTTTCCCTGCATTCCTAAACTTTCCCTGCGTTCCTAAACTTTACCTGCGTTCCTAAACTTTACCTGCGTTCCTAAACTTTCCCTGCGTTCCTAAACCTTACCCGCGTTCCTAAACTTTACCCGCGTTCCTAAACTTTCCCTACGTTCCTAAACTTTCCCTGCGTTCCTAAACTTTACCTGCGTTCCTAAACTTTACCCGCGTTCCTAAACTTTACCTACGTTCCTATTTTCAGAGCGTCATTCCTCAGCTGTGGCTGTCAGCAAAGCAGCGCACCTGGAAGGCAGGCACTGCAAGATACATCCCTAACTCAGTGTGGAACTGGATGATCAGTGCATCAGGTAACTATCCTTCTATTTGGACACGTACTTTAATTTAAAATAAGAAAAAAGAAAAAAAGCACAGAAAATAAGAATGAATACAATATTAAATATAAAGTGTTTTCCATACATTTTGCCCAAACCTTGAACTACAGCTTAAATAATGGTACTAGCTACTAGCATAGAAAAGTAGAATAAAGTGAAAACAGATGACAGAATGTAATTTAAAATGATGAAAGTAAAAAATTTGCAGCACATTTCAGAAAGCTACAAACTCAACCAACTCTCTCCCCCCTCTTCCCTATAGCTGACGTGACCCTTGACCCCATGACCAACCACTCATGGCTTCAGCTCTCCGACGACCACCGAAAGGTCCAGGAGGGAATATCCGAGTCCAACCTGCCCTTCAGTCCCCAGCGCTTTGACGCCTGGCCTGGCGTGCTGGGCTGGGAGGGCTACGCCTCCGGACGCCACTACTGGGAAGTCGACATAGCCAACAGTGGCTACTGGCGGGTGGGCCTGACCACGGCGGGCGCCAAACGCCATGGCCGCTTCCCCATGAGCCCCCAGACGGGCTACTGGACCCTGTGGCGCAGTATCCACCAATTCTACGCCTGTACCAAGCCCGAGATGCCCCTGCCCCTGGATCTGGTGGCCCGCCGGATGGGGATCTATCTAGACTACGAGGAAGGACAGATCTCCTTCTACAACGCGGAGACCAAGTCGCACATCTACACATTCACAGGCACCTTCAAGGAGAAGCTGTACCCGGTGTTTTCCCCGCTGGACGGTCGCACGCTCATCACCGTCATCTCGCCGCATAAGGTCTCTACGTTTTGAAGACATCAGGGGTCTTTGGTTTGAAGGTTCTCCCCAAACATAAGCTGAAAACAGAGCTGGTTTTCCTTTGCCTTTCAATCACTGGCTGATTTGGACTTGGAAAACCAGGTGTGTCATTGTGTGCGTGTGCATGTGTGTGTGTGTGTGTGTGCATAATGAGCAGCTTGCTCCAGTGACCTCTGTCCGAACTCTACCGTCTGCAGAAACTTACATCAACAACTTTCTCCCTCAAGGGTTTTCACCTAAATCATGACTTTCCCTCCTTTATTCTTCTCACTCTCCATCTCTCTCTCTCTCTCTCTCTCTCTCTCGCTGTCATTATCTTCCTCCCTCCTCTCTCTCCTCTGTTTTCCCCTCTTTTTCCTCTCCTCCAGCATAAAACTAACTGTCCGGCCAATCAATAACATTAATTGATCAAGGAAGTGCCAAGAAGAAGAGAAAACTATTGGAGAAGCAGTTGACACCTTGACCATCACAGACTTGGGTTGAGTTTGGGCCCCGTTCCCACATCAATCCCTAGCCTTGGCCTAGATACTTTTGGACGGCCCCTTATAGATCTGAAAGAACCAGATGGGTGGAATCAAAAACAAAGAAACTTCACGCTCCAATATAAAGTGTGTCTGTTAACACGCACTTTTGACAAGTTAGATTCAAACATCAAATGTTAGAAAAGCCCCATGTTTTTATCACCTTTTTGAAAATGTAAAATACTGTATGTATATAAATTGCATTATGACACTAAAACAGCTAGCTAAATGGAAGATGGAAAATGTACACTGAGGAGAACTAGTTATTTTAAATCTACTTGTACTGTATATTACTGTGTATCTATCTACCTATGTATCTTAATCTGTATGTCTGTATTTATTAACTTTATAATGCATTGGCATAATCTGCTAATACAAAATTGTCAACAAGTATGAATATTTTTGTCTACAAAACATGTATTTATTTGTGTGCATCACATTTTCTCTCTGACTCATGTAAATGTCCTTTCGGGCACATTGACAGTTTATAATGGTGATGGTCATGGTGCATACCAAGGTCACATTACATTTCATATGAGACAGTTCAGTATGTTACAAGTGTGGTTGCCAATACAGAAACATCTCTATATAATGTGATACTGATGCCTACAGTATCAATGTGTGAGCACACCCATAGCAATGATTGTGTGATCACGTTCCCCTCCCCTCAAGACATATATGACTAACAAATAACACAAAATAACTACTGGTAGTAATGCCATATCTACAAGGGTGGGATGTGAGTATGTTTTAGTTGCTTCAATGAAAAGTCCTAAAAGGTTGGCAATTATATTTAATAGGTCCCACAAGTGGACATATACCGGAAGTTTTTGGTACCGTGTGTTCAACTTTAGGCCTCACACACCCAGGGTCCGTAGGCCTCACAGTCCACAGCAAACAGACTCCTGTCCCCGCTATGGTCAGCACAGTCCCTGTGCTCGGAGTCCCACTCAACTTCTATCCTACAACAACATACACACACTGTGAGACTTTTCTGTAATTTCAACCGTAAAACACTGTAGAATGCACAGTAAAATACCTTAAATGTGTTTTACAGCATTAATGCTGTAGATTGCACTGGATTATGGGTAAAATGCTGAAAAAATACTGTTATTAACTGTAATTGTAAGCCCCCTGTAAAAATTACTCTAACTTACTGTATTTATTTACAGTAGTACCCAACGCTGCTGTAGTTGGCGGTGCCAAATGTGTGTGAGAGAGAAAGAGAGCTTGTATTGCATAGTTGAAACCAAGACTGTTCTCAGGTCAGGTCTTCCGGTTTTGACTAGCAGAAGTTACATTTCGTAGCAGGTTACAATAATTAACGCAGCAGGTTAGGATAATTGGGTCAAGGTTAGGGAAAGCTAAAATGCTAACATTGTCTCCAACGTGACTCAAACCTATCTACAACCTGCCCTGAGAGCAGTCTTGATTTCCACTAATGCGATGCTCCGCGCCAAACGGTCTGTGAGCATCTAAATATTTTTGAGCTGCTGCTAGGTATGTAATAATTCCATATACTATATACTTCCATATACCTACTGCAGGTTTTCTTAACTAAGCTACTAGCTAGCTAGCTTGTTTGGATTGTGTTAGCCAGCCAAGTTGACATGTCGATCTGTTGCATTGATCTTTCTTGCTGGTAAAATAATCAGTGGTATTGTAACTATAGAGAAAATAATTTTAGCATTAACAACGTGCAGAAATCCATATGTGTGTTTCTTTGTATAGGCTACTTGTCAAGTTGCGTCAATTCAAATCTGGTATAGGAACAAAAAGAGGTCAATACACGTCTTCTAAAATAGACTAGTATTTTAATTAATGCAAACACTTGAATGGTAAATATGATGTTCGTATATACGGGCCCACTGAAAAACCACGCAGGGCAGTCAGAGAACTGAGCTTTTGTTATAAGTTCTTCTTTAAATACTCTGACAGAGATAGTTCCCGCTCCCTGCTGGGCCTGTCAGAGTAGAGGCTGGGTATGGTTTAAACTTACCCAACCTATCGATGGCGCACAGGCTGGTCCCAGCCCCTTGGCGCTTCACTGTTGCCGGGCATTAGTTGTTATCTTTACAACTTGTCTCGAGTCAGCAACCTCAGACATAGTTTGTTCTTCTTTGTAGCAGAACACATGTCCTTGAGCGGTTTAACAAAGAGGCAGTGTGTGTGTGAATCACAAGTCTGTCTTAGCCTACCCCCTAACGGTTCCTCACATTAATCACAGCTTGTTATGTTAAACAATCTATATCAGTACAGCACAAACCTATTATGTTTAATCATTAATGTATTATTTCTAAGCTAGGCATCACATCTAGTTATAAGAAAATAGATCCCCACATACTTAACCGGTGGGTGCATGACATGGGTGGCATGGTGCTAACGCTATGGTATTAGTGGCAAGGTGGTTAACCGGTGGGTGCATGACATGGGTGGCATGGTGCTAACGCTATGGTATTAGTGGCAAGGTGGTCGTAGGCTACACCAGACAAAAAGACTCCCGTCTAGGGAGGGAGCGGGAGTTTAGCTAGAATGCACCAGTAGTTTGTCAGCAGCCACGGACTGACATTTTGCCTTGGGATGTATAATTTTGGGGGGATTCTGTAGTTGGAATGAGAGTCGTCTCAGATGAAAGGGGAATGGTGCTTGCTAATGTTAGCTATAGCTCTGAGATGGGGAACTCCATTAGACACCTTTCTTTAAACATCTCTGGCTAGCTCTATTCAGTCTGGGGGTGCATGTGATTTAGCAGAAGTGCAGTGGAATATTCACCCTGCTTTTGTTATCCTTATTAAACCATTAAATTAATGAATTCAGCAACAACAGGCACAGGCTTATATTTTTGCCCTGCAGGATATTAAAGTTATCTTTTATTTTCATTTTCTTCAGATTGTGTGGTTAGCTCGCTAGCATTATTCAGGGCGAATGGTCCTGGCATTTACCCGCGTGAGTTGAATTTTCCTCGTGCTTTTGCTAGTCTTTCAGAATGTATCCTTATCCATCCATTAATTAGGCAACGTTAAATTAATTATATCTGAAACATCAGGCACAGACTGATATTTTATTTATCCTTGTAGTCTATTTCATTTTTTTTTCATGAGATTGTGTGGTTGGCATGAGTTGGTATAGCTTGATAGCTGTGTAATTTGGTGGCTGGGGGTAGTGTCATTTTCATATTGCATGCTGGCTGGTAGCTGGAAGTAGCTTTATTGGGAATGTACAGGTGTCAATCCTGCAATTTCTGTTGCCTAAATATTAAAGCATTCATTACTCATGCAAAAAAACTGAAATGTGGCAAACTACAGTTTTGCTTGTGGGGTAAAGGAGTGCCCTTGCATTTTTGAAGAACTTCTCTGCTTTTAAATCCCATGTATATAGGAGTCATAAAACGAATGAGGCGACTCAACAAGGGGAATTCCCATGGACCTGTCAGGTTCAGGGATGCTCATTTCAGAACCCTATTTTTTCAGTTTTGTGTGCTCATTTGAGAGGGCATATCAGAGATGGGGGGAAAAGGTGTCTTGTCCCAATAGAGGCTGCTCCAGATATTTCCGGATCAGGTCATCTTTCAACTCCCATCTGAGCAGAAAGCCAGTTGCAGATCACAGTCATGTCAGACAAAATGCAGAAAACACAGTAGATGATGAGACTGTCACACTCGCAGATGCACATGTCGATAAAGATGATGTAGTTGATGAAGTTGACCAAGGGGCATTCTTGAGTAACTTAGCCTTGTTTTACTTAAAGATGCAAGCCAAAATGCTGTTGCCAGCCAGCACAATACAGCCCATAATAGGGGAGTTCCAGGAGGTCCATAACTGTGGAATGAAAGGTGTGCTTTCAAAACTCCACGATAAGTTGTCTATGCTTAACTTGCATGAAAGTGAGATAAAGCAAATAATTGATAAAGTATCACAAGGTCTGCTAACAGTACAGATCGGACAAAACACGAAAGTCATTTTTCAAAAATAACTTTAGCTATGTTGAGCCCTCAGGTATGAAATAACACAAAATCCTGGCGGTATACATGACACTGGGTGAGATTCTGCCCCACAATCGATCATCAATCGATCCCATGCAATTGGTATTGCTCTGTTGGGAGAATGATTTTAAATATTTTGGGCATGAGAAAGTGTTTTCCAATCTGATTGCAGATTTTGGGGATATTGAGGATTCAGGCTTTGAGACAGGGGATGGGGAAACTCTTAAAGGGTCATTGATCGCCATTGCTGTGGACAATCTTGGGTCCCACTGTATTGGTGGGTTTACAGAAAACTTTAGCTGTTGTAGGTATTTCTGCCGATACTGCTTAGTTGACAGAGAGACCTTTCAAAGAGCACCTCACAAGCTTGGCCCAAAGAGAACGATCAGTAACTATCAAGACAGTGTTGAGGAACTGTCCACCACTGACCAAGACATAATTCAAGGGATCAAGTTCGATTCTGTGTTCAACATTTTAACCCACTTCCATGT